TTTTTAAGGCTCCGCTTTCCGTCTGCAACATCCATGTTACCAACGAAAGACCGGTTTTAGGCTTAAGCTTTAGGGGTTCAGGGTTTATTCTGTAAACCCTAAGGCCCCCGAACTGGAGCTCTGCCGTTCAGGGGGCAGAGATTGGCGTCTCAGCCACATATCTCCCCATGGTTTAGAGCTTGGGGTATAGGGTCTGGGGTCTAGGGCCACCGTCAAAAACCTGCAACCTTACGATCTAGTTGCTGAGATCCCCGGCATGTTGCAACCTGAGGCCTACAAAACCAAGCCTTTAAAAGCATGACAGCAGGTTATGTGGTAGGCGATATGGCCGTAGGATGACATGAAAACCCAAAGAGGGTACAGGTTCACGTGCGACGAGAGGGCTATCGGTATGTACATATATATATATATATATGTTTAAATATCTATACACATATACACACGTACATACATACATACATACATATATATATATATATGTATGTATATATATATATATATATATATAAACACATACAAAGAAGTGGGATTGAGAGAGAGAGAGGGGGAGAGAGAGAGCGAGCGAGCGAGCCACCTTGAGAAAGATACACACACATGTATATATACATACATACATACATACATACATAGGATATATAGGTATGTGGAAATGAATACAGATATGAAGAAATCTGTGCTTATGTAGATATACGTGCACCCAGACCGGAACAGGTCCAAATCTTGCCTGCAAAGAAGAAACCCTAAACCCTAAACTTTAAACCCTTACGAAAAAAGAGACGTTGTTGGCGGAGCCTCGGGCTCTGCCGGGTAGTGCCGATGCTTCTTCGACTTGCCTGAGCTCGCGAGATCAGCTCCGTTGGGGGCTTTCGATATGTTTTTTTTTGGGGGGGGGGTTAGGTCGGGTTTAGGGTTGGGGTTTCGGGTTTAGGGTTTAGGTAGGGTGAGGATTCAGGGTTTAATGGCTTGGGGAGCTTAAGGTCATAAAAGACATTATCCTACCCTACTCGGGTCCATTTCGAGACTCACATATCGTAGTCAACTGCCCACATAAAGCGAATCCGCTTGTTCCACGACCGAACACAGTCCGACCACGAGGAGACCAGCAAGAAACCAACGGGAGACCACAAGGAGACTTCAAGAGACTGGGAGCCCCACCCTACAACCTACCTATAGGGTTTAGGGGTTAGGGTTTGTAGGGTTTACGGTTTAGGGATTATAGGGTTTAGGGCACAGGGTTTAGGGTGTACCTATAGTCTCGAATTGTAGTTCCCTTTTCTGGTTAACCAGTTTTACGGTTAGGACCCTACAACATAGTTCTTGGTTAGCAAAAAAGGAACTACAATGGAGACTATAGGTAAACCCTAAGACTGGGACACCACCCAGCTCAGCGGGAGACCACAAGAAGCTATAGTAGAAGCAAGGAAGTTGGAACATCAATATCCCCATGCCCTTAAGGTAAAGTATAAGGGATCCTAGCACTAATCCTCCTAAATCCATGCTCCAACTTTCTGGCTTCTACTATACAAAGAGAGACCGCCCATCGCCTGACACCATGGTGTTGAAATGCTTCCCCCTCTGCCTTCACGTCGGTTTAGGGGGTTCGGGGTTTAGGGGATTTAGTGTTTAGGGTTTAACGCCCCCCCTGACGCTCTGGAATACTGGGAAACATGCTCCCCTCTCGGGATTGACACATTTCGAAGCCAAAACGATGCCACCTGCTAATAACAGGAAATGAGCACAAACCATGCAAGCCGCCGCATGCAGACAATGACCGATTCTCTTCGTTCAACACATTTGAATCCGAAATTACAAGTCCGCACCACACATCTTAAGGGCAAGTGCCACCATGCAGACCATGTCTTAATATTGAACTGGCATGCTTCTACTCTCAAACAATCTTCGCAATCGCAATCTGGTCTGAGGTAGCTGCGCTCTTTCTTCTCACGCCGTCGTGCATCGTCGTCGACGGCCTTCGGATGAAGTGCTTGGGGCCGGCTGTTCAGAACTTACTCCTACTTGTCGGGTATCATGAGGAACTAAAGGTTAACCTTTTTGGTTATATACGGGTTATATAGGGACTATAGTACCCCAAAAAGGCTAACGGTTACCTACTCTACTACTAGGTACTTGGGGTCGGGCTTTCAAATCCTTTGCGATGGGCGCCAGCACAAAAGCTCACGGCTTGGAGAGGCGGGTTTGGGGCTTCTCGTGTTGGTTTTAGGGTTTAGGGGTTTTGGGTTTAGGGTGTGAGGGGCAGACCTGAAACAGCCAAGTGCCCAGCTGAACTCCAAACCTCACGGGTATCCTAAGAAGGGGTTGAACGTCAAGGTCTGTACGACAGAGAACTCGATGCTTGCATGTCTCTAAGTCGTTTAGAAGATCCGCGAGTTGACAAGCAGGGCCCCAACAACTGCTATCACTACTGCTACTTCCACTGCTACTGCTACTGTGACTGCTGCTCCTACTGCTACTGCTACTGCTCCTGCTGCTGCTCCTCCTACCACCACTTCCACTACCACTGCCACTATGCCTCTGCTACTGCCACTACCACATTCACTACCACGACCACTGCCACACCACCACCACCACCACCACTACCGCTACGGCTACCGCTACCGCTGCCGCTACCGCTGCCGCTGCCGCTGCCGCCGCCGCTACCGCTACCACTACCGAGACCGCTACCACTACCGCTACCGCTACCACTACCACCACTACCACTACTACGACGACTCCGACGACGACTACTACTACTGCTACTGCTACTGCTACTGCTACCGCTACTGCTACCGCTACTGCTGCTGCTGCTACGACGACGACGACGACTACTACTACTACTACCACTACCACTACCACAACCACTACTACTACGACGACGACTACTACTACTACTACTACTACTACTACTGCTACGACTGCCACGACGATGCACGACGACGGCTACCACCACCAGCACCCCGCCGACGACGACGACGAAGACGAGTAACTACTGCTACTACTACTACTACTACTACTACTACTACTACTACTACTACTACTACTACTACTACTACTAAACTGCTACTCCTGCTGTTGCCACTCCAACAACAAACAAGCTATTCTAGCCCGCTACTACAACGACGACGACTTTCACCACCACTACTGCCCACATCCAGGCCGGAAACCCGTAGGCCGCAAACTCGATAGCTCGAGAGCCTCTACAGTCCCGATATTAACCAGCGATACTTCCAAACATCTGACGTAAGTGTGACATAAGGGCAGTGAAGGCTTTATAACCTGGTTGTAGCAAGGACTTCCCAGACGGGCGATCATGTAGAGCACCTTGTTATAATCCCCAGGCCCCTGAATCGCTGGCAAAAACCTGAATGCCACGAAGCCTAAAACAAAACTTCTCAGCACCAATCCGTCTGGAACGCGTGCAAGGCCACCCAAAAAGAACTCAACAGACCCAAAGGGTCCAAGTATCATTATGGTGTATACTTATAGGGTATTTTGGGGGCCTAAGTATGTACCATAACAATACTTGGACCCTTTGGGAGAGCTACCCCAGCCCACCTGCGAGTTCCAAGAGACAGCCGACGAGTCCGTAACTGACCTTGGGTTTAGAGCTGCTCGCGGGATGAAAGCGTGACATCTTACAGTAGAAGCCAGAAAGTTGGAATATCATTATGGTAACCCCTTTAAGGTAAATTATAGGGGGTCCTACCATTAATCCATATTCCAACTTTCTGGAGTTCCCTTTAACACAGTGGAAGGGAGTCAGTCGCAAAGCAAAGGCGGCCCCGGTAATCCACACCTTACGCATCCTTGAACTACCAGAACCTAATGTTTGGTAGAACCCCAATATGGAACCTATAATAAGGAACCCTAAACCCTAAACCCTAAACGACTCGCCAACATGTCAGCCTTTGCGGAGTCTCGTCGGAGATTTCAAGACGTGGGAAGCCCGACAAATTCAGGCTGTTGCGTGACAGAACCGCGACTTCGTTGTGTTTTGCAGTTTCCGCCCATTCCAGGTAGCTCTAGAGTTGCAAAGAGCCTCCGTTACATGCGAAGGGCTTTCTAAAAATGGAAGGGGCGCCCCAAAGAGACCCCGGAATCTAAAGCCTGACTACTGATGCGCCTGAACCCTGAAGCTTTGACCCTGAATTCCACCACGGCAATTGGCAACGGGATCCCTCTTATGACCTGAAGCCAAAATCCCCAACCCTACCATCCTAAACTAAACCCTATAAACCCTAAACCCTAAATCCACAAGTCAACGCCGAAAACGGCGTAGGCCGAAGACCGCAACACTGCAACACAAAGGCAGCCCCACAACCTGGGTTCTCGTTAAAGGACTCCAGGTAAGTTACCATAATAGGCATATGTAGTAAATAATACGGCTTCTTTACTATGGTAACGAAATTAACGCCTTAACAGGAAGCCCAAAACCGCAGCTTGTTTTAAGCATCCAGTTTCGCCCCTGTCATTGCAAGGAAACTGCTCGGTCGTCTCTTGCTGTGAAACACATTGCAACATAATGCTAAAAGATCCTAAAAGAGAACTCGCCGTCGAAGAGATCATCATCTTTTCGAGGCAGAAATGGTAGTTTTCGGAATCAGGGCTGAGGGCACACTCTGCTACAGACGGGACGTATCATGGAGCTAGGCTAGAAGGAACGAAATTGCATGCAATCAAAGTTTCATTGGGGCCTTGGACATTCTCCGACTGTTGTGGGTTCAGTGTCTGGGAGAGTTGAGAGTTCATGGTAACCATGAACATCATAACCTTGTGCTCCACTCCACGGTCTATTCTCGTAACTCCAGGGCTCGAGGATGCTTACAGGCTTCAGGGAATTAGGGTGCGATTCAAAACCAGGGAGTTTCCGAAAATTAGGGGTACCTTACTTTGGGGTCCTTATAATAAGGAGACTACTATTTAGGGTACTATATTAGGGTCCCCCATTTTCGGAAACTCCCACCAGGTGGCAAGACGATGCCTCAGGACATGCGGTGTGCAGCTCAGTAGTGCAGCACAGTGAGTCTCAACTCCTCGTCGTTCCTTTCTGGATTTGGGGGTTTCCGAACATTCGGGGTACCGTATTTTGGGGGTCCTTATAATAAGGATCCTACTATTTAGGGTAGTAGGGTCCCCTATTTACGGAAATCCCTCAGTGGAAGTTCAGCGCTCCGCTCCTAGACTACCAAGCCCGACTGGTTATCTCTCCCTGTCCCTCTGCCCCTCTCTGTTCTGCCCTCGGCTATCAATATCTATATCTATATATATATATATATGTATTGTATCAGAATACGTATATATATATATATATATATATATATATACATATATAAGAGTACAAACACACATGTCTCTGTTTCGTTTTTTTTTTTTTTTTTTTTTTTTTTTTCTCTCTCTCTCTCTCTCTCTCTCTCTCTCTCTCTCTCTCTGGCACTCGCCTTGATCTAACCACCCTGAAGTGATTCCTCTCTCTGATCTCCGAGTGTTCGGGCTCTTCCGGACTTGGGTCGTCGGGTTTCGTTCGTGTTCAGGCTCTGGTCCTCATAGCTTCTCACATCACGGCAAAAACAAGGCTACCTTTCACAATGTCTGTATATATATATATATATATATGTAACTATATATAGCCCCGAGACTCTAGCAGTCATCGTTTACGGCGTCAAAACAGTATAAAGTCCATAGTGTATACCCACTTGTCCAGTACCCAGGACGACTAAAGGTTAAGCTTCGGGAGTATATAGGGGCTACAGTACTGTACCCCAGAAATGTCTTAAAGTTAACAACTCTACCACCGTACTTGGTATACGATGTAACACTTTGCATGACAAGAGCAGGCATGAAGATTTAGGGACTGGGACTTGGGGTTCCGGAATTTCGGGTTTAGGGATTTAGGGTTAACAAACTCGGTTTCCGGCTCAGATTGCGCAAACCTCTGGCTGTCTCCCGGAAAGTCGAAAGGTTGACGATCATGGATTTAAGGACTAGGATGCCCAGTAACCTAGGAATGAAAAGGGCTCCCTTTTTGGTATTGGGTAACTGTATAAGGAGCCTAGGACTAGGAAAAGGGAATAAGGGTAGTACTGGGCATCCTAGAGTAGAGTCTTTACCTGCAGGATGTTGACTCTAGCGAAGTCTGACTGTGTGTGATACCCTGCTTGGCAAGGCTTTGTGAACACTCAGACTCGCAATTTCGGCGTGCGGTGTTTCGATTACCACCTGCACCTCGAATCTTAAACCCGCGGACACAGACAATCTTAGACCACTGGAAACATATTCTGCACGTATATGGGGTCACTATGTGCTTGCAACGAACTACAGGACTTGTCATAAGGCCAGTACTGAAGTGAGGATGGTTTATACACAAGCTGAGCAGCGCAAATCATGTGCAGAGAAGTTGGCTTACATACATCTAACAGTGACGAGCCCAGGTGGTGTTAAGCTGGGCTTGTGCACCCAAAACTTATGCGTGAACCCGCAATGACTCAAACTACCAATCTCTGGAGCCCTGACATCAGCTTGTTCGAAGGAAGATCTCCGCGAGCGTTTCTTTCTATATTTCGGGCGTTTTAAGCTGCGCCTTAAATTTAGGTCTGCTTTAGGGTTATGCTGTGGAATGGAAGATTGTGGGTATTAACAACAGGACAGGGTCTTGGCTTCAGGGTCTGTGCTTCATGGTTTGAGGGTGCCGCAAGCCTCAGCCAATTTGCATAACTTGCGGAACTGCGACATTAATAACAATAGTCAGAATAGCCATTGAGACTAGCACTAGCAAAAGTGACAATGAAAGAGCTGCCGGGCAAGACTCTTGAGCTTGTCAACGAGGTCGTCGCCACGCAGCTCGCCTAACGCAGTTTAGCGCCCAAGATTTTAGGACAAGTGATGTTTTGTCTAGCGACAGCTGGGCGACGGGGAAGGATGTTACAAGTGCAGCTTAATCCAGGCAGAACCCACCAGAACCCATCTACTTCCAAAGCCTACTCGCGAGGATCAACCCCGAACCGCCTGTTTGGGGCGGGGGGGGGGGCTCTGGATCACTAAACTCGGAGCACTGTCTTTCTCGAAAAATTGCCGACATCGGGTGCATCGACATTCGGTGACCTGTTCAGCGATCGGCCACTTTGATGTAGGCTTTAGATTTCGGAGGTTCGGAATATGAGTCCGCACTCTTCAGGAACAGCATGGTCTTACATTCCGTTTGAAATAATGTTGTGTTGCTCTCTGAAGCATCTGGCAAAATCACGTCATGACAATCTTCACAATCCTCGCATATCTGAGCCGCAGCCCGTATGTTAAAGGGAGTTTATGCGGCATGCCCTCCTCATGTGGTTCGATCTACTGGGCTAATACGGGCCTACGGTGAACAAGAGTGTGTTTCTGTATCTGGGCCATCCTTTCAAACTTGCAGGAACTCTTACGCCGGTCTGAGAAGTGTCACCAATCCGTTTGAGGTCTAGGCCGGGCGAATCACAGATCCCATGCAGAACGGAAGATAACACCGAAAAGATAATTTCCCTATGAGCAATAGACTCAAAAACCCTAAGCCCCTAAACCCCTAAACACCTAACCCCTAAACACTAAACAGAGATATAAGCAGAGGCCAACCGTCCGAAATCCCGCCCCCGTTTGCAGACCGAGTTTCTGTTATTCAACGCGATGATACGATCACCAGCGTTGACGCTTTTGCCCTGGATGCCGGGGCTGGGGCTTAATGTAGGAACCTCAGGGCTTTTATAAGGGTTCTATAAGGGTTCCTTTAAGGAGTGCTAGGAGGGTACCATAAGGGTTCTGGGGGGTTTGATGTAGGAACCTGATTAAGAAACCTTGGGCCTTTATTAGGGTTCCTTATGTAAATCCTACTGTTTTTGGGGGTTGTAGGCCGACGGTTTCTGAATCAGGTTCCTACATTGGGATGTAAGGCCTGGGGTAGTGGGGGCTGCAAGCTTGCCGCAAACAGCGGCAACTAACATATGGGTAGTTGCCAATATTAGGGTTTCTTTTTTGGGGTACCCTAAATATTAGGTGCCGTACAAAAATAAGGACCCAAAAAGGGACCATCATTTTGAAAGCCACCCATATATTGCTGTGTGGTCGCGCAGACCCAGAAATGCCAGCAGGGACTTCCAAAGCGGCGACAAGGACAACAAGTAGTTTAGGGTTTAGGGTTTACCTGGACCCTACGGAACCTACCTTTTTAGGGCCCCCCTAATATGAGTTCTTTATATAAGTCCCAAAAAAAAGGTAGGTCACGTGGGGTTTAGGGTTTAGAAACCAGGACTGGATTCGGATACTTAGAAGCAGAGGCTTCGAATTCACGGTTAGGAGCATGCCCTGCTGAGAAAATATTGAGCCGGCTTTGCAAGGAATGACACCGTGAACTTTACTACTATATACATCTGTCACACCTTCCTTAAAGATAACCAGTCCTCGGAAGTCAAGCCTATATCCTGAAACCCTATAAGACCCTAAAGCCCTCATACAACCCCTGAGACCTCTATCAAACCCTAAAGCCCCTGTAAAGAAAAAGCCCTACTGAAGCGCCGAATCCGAGTAGCGGCCCAAAATCCCCAGTCGAGAACCCAAGGTCTCAGACGCCGCTGAACAAGAATAGGGTTTAGGGTTTAGGGTTTAGGGATATGCCCGTATAAATCCCCTTGTTACAAGGGGATTTAGGCCCAACAACCAGGACCCCCCAATGGCCCTTTAATAGAGTCCTCGTGGTCCCCAATAGTGGGTATTTGGGATATAATAGAGGGCAGTTGGTGGGTCTAGGAATGTAGGGATCTCACGACAACATGCCTGTGCTTATGTCCTTGTTTGGGGTCCCTAACTCCCACCTCCCCTAACACCCCAAAACCCCACACCTCCTCGAGGTTTTCAGCATTCCAGCGGTCGACCAAACCATCTGGAACGACTTTGGTGATAAGAACTCCGCCGAGCCTGGGTCTGTACTATCCGGCTTAGTTACACGGAGGCTTACATCTACAAGGCCCGCAGATCACACAAAGCAACCTACTGCTGAAAGAGCTGGCCTTCTAGCAAAGGGGCCCTTGCGAGAACCTGGGCCCTTTAGGGACCCTGAAGCCGAAAGCAAAAAAACCCAACCCTTTTAACTACTTGTCGAGTATCATGGGGAACTAAAGGTTAACCTTTTTAGTTATATAGGGGGTTTATAGGGACTATACTACCCCAAAAAGGTTAAAGGTTACCTACTCTACTACTAGGTTTAACTCTACGTTATCCACTCTTAATTCAACGACTATTGATACTCTTACAACGATGCTTACTACTACTACTACTACTACTACTACTACTACTACTACTACTACTACTACTACTACTACTACTACTACTACTACTACTACTACTACTACTACTGATAGGCCTTCTATTCCCGTTAACCCCAGAGCATGCACATCACAAATCCCAAAGCACAACATGTTAGAGTTATTTGAAGCTTCTCGGCTTCTCGATGCATGCCCTACCCAAAGGCCCCAAAGTAGTTCCTTTTTGGGGGTTCACTTGTAGAATTTTATAATGTAGTCCCAAAAAGGAACTACTTTGGGGCCTCTGGGTAGGTTCCTTCTTCACGGGATGACACTAGAATGGATGCGATTGTACGTTTGTTTTGGAGGAGGTGGGGGATTGTATTGGGGTTCCTTGTGCTCCGGAACTCCAATTCAGAGCTCCCTAAACCAAAGCCCCGATTTCAGAGCTCCCTGACCCCTAAACCCTATCCCAGAGCTTCCGAAAATGAGTGGTACCTTCCTTATCATAGGGGTCCTACTAATTGTTTAGGGATGCTATATAGAGGTCCCCTATTTTCGGAAACTCCCATCTCAGAGTAGGGGCAGATCGGTGTAGTTCACCTGGATACCGAGAGGCCCGGGCCTTCGCACACAAACCTCAGATTTTCGGTGCGCTGTTACACTAAACCCTGAACCCCTGATCTCTAGATTTTAGATTTTTTCTCAGAGTTTATGGTTTAGAGGCCGAGGGTGGGCGGGGGTTTCTTTTGGGGCTGCGACAGTCAATCTGGTCTTAGCAAGCTCAGGAGCTAGGGATGTGGGCTTGGCAATTATGTTCAGGCGGCCAGCCTACACCCCATAATTTTATACACCCTGAAACATAGGCTTTGTTTCAGTTTAGGGTGTCGGGACGTCTGACATCACGGTCAAATCCGGGGGCTTAGAAAACAAATCCTATCAACACGGCCTTCTAGCCCTTGCAGGCAATGATATTTAAAGCTACACCCAAAACTCCCTTGGACCTGCCTTGAAAGGTCCTTCTAGTCCATGGACAAATCTACTATATCCCCCAAGTGGAAACCCACTTTTCCAATAAATAAGGCTTCGTCTAGCCCGATGGGCACAATGATCCAGGATGCCCAGTAACCTAGGAATAAAAAGGGCTCCCTTTTTGGTATTGGGTAACTTTAGAAGGAACCTAGGCCTACAAAAAGGGAATGAGGGTACTGCGGCTGATGATATAAATCCTGCATTACCCTTAATAGGAACATACCATAATTCCCTTAGTTTAGGGTTCTTATGGTAATGCAGGATTTGAATCATCGACAGTAGTGATCGGGGCTTCGCAGGGCAGCGGTCACAGGTTCAGGCCGCAAGGTCCACAAGATTGTGCTTACTATACCCACCCTGAGAACCATATTAAATTAGTTTGTAATGTTCTGTTGGGTTTGATAAAAACAAAAATAAGAAAATTAATTCCTCAGAAGACTATAGTTTCCATTGAGGCCAGGGCTGGAGTGCTTCCGGCTACTGGCTAAGGCTGTGGAGCGTGAAGCACTTCCTCCCCCGATAAGCCCAAGAAACAAAACGTTGCAAATTTCAAAATTCATGCTAAACTATATGAATGCAAAAAGTTTAAAGGTTGGGTATTGGGGATGTAAGAGCACCCCTGTCTGGCACTTGGAAAAATTAACTATGTTGCAAGCAGGGTATTGAACACGACGAAGCTCGCCTACAGAAACCACAAGCCGGGAACTCAAGCCTTTCTCCGAGGGCAATGTAGGGGCTGTAGGAATAAGAACAATACTCTTCGAGGGTTCCTTCTTTTCTGAACTACAAAACCAAACGAGCTCCACGGTCCCTATATTGGTTTTTTTGGGCTTGCCAGCCCAAGGCCCCTACCCGTTTCATAACTTGGGTCTTTACACGGCTTAGGGATTACGCTCTTGCATCTCGCACTCGTCAGGTTAACCCTTCGGACTCGGTACTATACCCTAGACCCTAAAGTAAGTAAAATAATGGCCCAAACCCTATAAAAGGCCATTGTTCTACATACTTTGAGGGCCCTAAACCCTAAAGCTGGGAGAGTTTGAGGTATACCCCAAGGGTCCAAGTACCCGATAATCCTATACTCTCCAAAATCCCTACCTACATAACTATTATCCTAAAACCGAGCACCTAATTATTGGATCCTTTGGAGCCTTGGGGATAGGTTCGGTGCTCCAACATGTTGGGGTTGCGCGCTTCGTCTTAACCTTCACTTGGGGGTTTCAGAAAATTGGGGGTACCTTATTTGGGGGTCCTTATAATAAGGGTCCTACTATTCAGGGTACTAAATTAGGGTCCCCTATTTTCGGAAACTCCCACTTTGATTCAAGGCCTTGGGTCACAGCACTGCATTATTCTCGCCGTTGGTTAGAAGGGAATGAAAGGATGGTTGTAATAGTAGTTATAGTTGTACCCCATTCCTCCATGCCCTACTAACCGAAGGCAAGTAATAACTGGAGTCTCAAACTTATATTACGGTTTCTGAGTCACTGTACTGCCTCGATAAAACCTTACCAACAAAGTGCTTGATCGTTGTCTATAAATATCCTGCCATTAGAAGTACGAGCAGGGTTTTTTGGAGGCATGTTAGACTATGGTTGTATGAGCGACAAAAAAAAGGGGCTTGCTACAAGTAACGTTGGCGCTTCTACATTAAACACCCAGCCCGAAGTCTTGAAACGGTTTAGGGTTAAGGGCTTAGGGTTTAGGCTTTAGGGGGATGGCCTCAAACTCCACCGGCCGCCGCAGAGTCAGCGCCAAAGTCTCCAGGGTCTCATCGGCAATGGCGGAGACCATGATCCTGCGCGTTCTGGGATAAGGGTTTAGGGCAATTAAAGGCTTTCGGGTTAGGGTCTGCAGAGTTTGGACTCTGGAATTGTTGATTTCAGGCGTTTGTGGCTTCTTTGATTGGGGTTCCGGCTTTCTCCTGGTCCCCTGAAAGATCTAAGAAGCGCTATTTTGAGAAATGGCCGCATCTGGATCCGATGTCATGGCAGCCCCTCCTTTCTGGGACTGACAACTTACTACTGTTCTGATCCTTGATGCCCCTGTACTATAGAACCTTCACAAAGCCCGCAACCTTTAAACGGAAGTCTGTTTTTGAATACAGGACCTTCATTAATCCCAACCCTTTAAACGGAAGTCTGTTTTTGAAGGCCACTCCAATGGCCGCTTACTGCTTCTTGTATCCGACCTCCACAATGACCTACTTTTGTGCAAGATCCCTAACCCCAAAGCCCTAAATCTAAAATCCTAACAAGACGCTTCGAAAATGATTACTCATACCTTATAAGTATAGTATAATGGGCCCCAAATCCCCATTCTATTTATTAGTTATTAAGCTTATTGGCTGAAAGCTCAACTTTTCAACGCTTAGTCGATTCTGAAAGTTTCAACTGTTATTTCCTTGGATTTTGGGCCAGTGAGCAAGGCCCCTATATTAGAGGGTTTGGGACTTTAGGGCCTTAGGGGGTTCAGGGTTAGAGGAGCGTCGAGGCCCGGCCAGTCCCGCAAGCAGTGGAAGACATACTAACACTTGGCGTTCTTCTGGTTGGCTCTTAGGGCTTTAACTTTTTGGGTTTCTATATGAACTATAATGAGCAGGCTAAAAGTTTGACTTCTTGGAAGGGTTCAGAAGTCAGCCAAGAACAAGTCCATCCAAGTCGTTGTGGCTTAGGGTTTAGGGTTCAGGGCTGACCGTCCTAGTTGCTGTCAAGCCACAACAACCCCATGCTGGCCGATTTGACGACAGGTTTTTTGCTATGAGGAAGGCTTCGCATCGTGCTTTCGATTTCCTGTATCTCTTTTGACCCGCTATAGAGTCTCCTGTTCCTGTTTAGGCCCCTATGTAACCGAGAATGTTTCAGACATTGTGGTGCGTTGTCCTTCGAAGGTCATTGGCATTTCCGACCTTCCCGTTCACGGCAGTGATCTTGTCGAACTTTCTGATGGCCTGTCGGGGAAACTTCTCGTTGTACTTCGAGAGCACCTCGCACGCACGCACAGCCCCAGCTCCCGATACCACAAGCCTGACACGGATGGCACAGGACAGCTCAATTATCCAGCCTGCAACACCCTACTCTAAAAGACCCTAAACCTGGAAGCCCCCGACAGAAACAGCCCAAAAAGTCCCAAAGCCAAGTCCTGAACCCCAAAGCCCAAAGACCCGCAACGAAAAGGCTTGGCTTCGCAAAGCTTGGATCTCGACGTCGACGAAAGATGGAGGTTTGTAAATGTTTAGGGTTTATTGCCACAAGGGTCCAAGTAGCCCATGATCATATAGTATACTCTCCCAAATGTTAACACGGATAGCCACTATACTAAACTTAAGTACCTTCAAAGGGGAAAAGGACCCCCACCCTACAATGGGCTATATAATGGGTATATAATAGCTATATTAAGGGTATATACCTAGCGGTCCTTATTAAGGGTCCCTCCTTTTACCCTTGGATACCTTTCCTTTGGACCCCTGAGGCCCTCAACCCCAAACGTAAGCACCTATCCTTTGGACCCTTACAGTAGAAGCCAGAAAGTTGGAATATCATTATCGTAACCCCTTTACGGTAAATTATAGGGGATCCTACCATTAATCCATATTCCAACTTTCTGGAGTTCCCTTTAAGGCCCTAAACCCCAAACGTAAGAAGGCTGTGGACGTGCTCCAAAAACGGCTCGGCCCTGGGATGAAGGGCTCGAAGCAGAGGTACTGTTGATGATCTAAATCCTGCATTACCTTAAGAACCCTAAACTATGGGAATTATGGTATATTCCTGCTTATGGGTAATGAAGGATTTATATCATCAACCGTATCTCGGAATCAAGTTGGAGCCTGGGAGGGCTTACCCCAAGGGTCCAAAGGACCCAAGAATTAGGTGCTCGGTTTTAGGATAATAGTCATGTAGGCTAGGGGTTTGGAGAGTATATGGTTATTAAACTATTACTTACTTGGATCCTTGGGGTTACCTATGGACCCATAGCCGCCATCGCAGCTCCTTTATTGATGGTTCTGGGTCCACCAAATTGAAATTATAGGATCCTTGTCGAAAAGCCTGAAGATGCCTGAAAGCTAGACACAAAATCCAGCCCCCATTTCCGTGCAAACCCTGAGCCCACCCACACCGCAATCCAACCGCATGAGTATGCCTACCCTGGAAAGGTAGGTCATTTTAGCCTCTGAAGCCTGTGCACTGAATAGCCTAGAGCCAACATCGCACCGAATCACATACTGTAATTACGTTGAGTGGCCTTAAAAGTATATAACCAAGTGGAAGAAGTACAAACTTTTATTCCATAGTGGTTCCTTATAGGAACGGGTCCAAAAACATTACCCAAGCATGGTCCATACTCCAGAACCCAGCTGACCGTGTTCTAGCCTTACACCCTGGTGTGGGAGCCAAGGAACCCCATCAAAGAAGCCGACGATTAAGAGACCCCGCCTGAGGCGGGTAACTTTAGGGCTTTGGGATTTGGGGTTCAGGGTCTAACTCTGGGGTTGAGGTTTTGGGATTGGGGGTTTAGAGTCGGTTGGGGGGTTGAAGTTTTGGGATTTGGGGTTAGGGCTTGACGCTTTGGGTTTGGAAGTGTATTTCTAAGTGCCCAAGGCCTTAGAGTATGATGGGTGCGTGATTTTTGGTGCTGACAACAGCGCGTTGTACCCTAGGGATCTAAGGACTCATATATTAAGGCTTTTGGGCCCAAAGACCATACTATATATGGCTTTTGGGCTATTTTGATCCCCAGGGGTAGTAGAGTTCAGGGTTTTATAGGTTTTAGTTTTTGCGGCTTATGGCTTAGGCCCTCTCGGGCTAATTTTTGGCTCTCACTTGTCTAGGGCTGATTAAAGTTTAGAGGGTGTGGGGACTTTGAGCAGCGGATGTTTTTTCTTTTAAAGTTGATGTGCCCTTCTTTCTTCAAAGCGGCGCTGGCAACGGATGTCTAGGGTTCGAGGGAAGGATTTGTTTTCGGAGTTTTGAGCTGCATGGGGCAGGATCCAGCGGTCAGTCGGGAACTGACGAGACGGTTCGAACCAACTCCTTCACAAAACCCTAAACCTGTGTCAGAAAACTTGTCTCGGGGGATGCAAGAATCCAGGAACAACAAAGCAGCAAACACAGCTTCGAAGTATGGAGGAGCGATAAAGCCAATGCATGTACCCGGATCCTGCCATTTGCCTGGCTGCCTTGTGCAAGATGCCTTGCATCCGGTCTAAATTCCTAGTCTCCAACGCATGCAAGCTTAACCAATCTCATGCTGAACCCACGGACTCTGCGCTCTGAAACGCTCAATCCCTTGTCTCTGTACCCTGTGACTGCATGAGCTCTCGCCGTGCACTCTTTGCACGGCAAAACAGGAACCGCAAGGGCCCTATGTTTGGCTATCATCATGACCGCGTCACGGCAGAAAGACTTTTGCACACTTCAACCATACGTCGCTTTAGGTCCCAAACCCTATCGAACCACTCGAGACATCTCGGACCTGCTTGACCTTAACCTGCAATCGAAGAGAACTTACCTTTGGTTAGTAGGGAATGGAAGAATGGTAGTAATAGTAGTTATAACAGTACCCGATTCCTCCATTCCCTACTAACCAAAGGTAAGAGTCAACTAAACCCTATAAAACCCTAAACACGTAAACCCTAAACCCTAAACCCTATAAAACTCTAAACCCTAAAACCCTAAACCCTAAACCCCTAAACCCTAAACCCCTAAGGCAATCGAAGAGAAGCCTCGCCACAAGAATCCCTGAACCTTGAGCCCCTTCTTGCAAACGAGCCCTGAGTCCCAAGCGCTGACATCCGAATAGGTGTAACTATGTAGTCTACTGCATATGCACATACCATATATTGCATCTATATATACACACATATAACATGTATGTATGCATGTATGTACATGTCTGCAAATATATATATATATATATATGAAAACATGTACAGATGTATGTATGTATATATATATATATGTAGATATGTATATGTGTATATGTGTATGTATATGTAAGTATTCATGTACTAACGTATGTATCACATAGTTATGCCCATAGACAGATATACATATACTTCATCCTGCCGAGCGTCTCTTCAGTGGAGTCCAAACTGACTCCCAGCATCCGTGGCTTCAGCTCCTCCAGCTCCAGCTTGACCTTCAAGGCGTACTTAAAGGATCATCGGACTTAGTAAACGGCCCTTTAAGGGATCTATAGGGTTCCTTAAAGGGATCTATAGGGTTTAGTTTAGGGTTTAGGGTCTACTTAGAGGATCATGGGACTTGGTAACTAGGGCTATAATCAGGGTAACTATACTTAAAGCTACTTATGACCCCGATTAAGGTGCTTATAACCTTACTTACTAAGTCCCAGGATCTGTCTTTATCATTTTGTCAGCTTAGGTTTTCTGGTTGAGACACTAGTTACTAGTTGCTTTCCACATCTAGACTTACACTACCACCATCACGACTGCTGCTGCTGCTGTACTACTGCTGCTTCTACTACGACGACGACTAAAACCACCACCACTGCCACTACCACTACCACTACCCTCAGAACTCACCGAAGACTCAGACAGTTTATTTTGGCTTTTCTGTTGAACCCAAAACCCCTAAACACTAAACCCCTAAACCCTAAACCTCCTAAACCCCTAAGCCCTAAAGCCACTAAGATCCCGCTAGATTGGCTTTTCTGCAAGGAGCCAAGTATCCAATTATCATATACTCTCAACAATAGTAACCTACATAACTGCTATCCCAAACCCGGGTACCTAATTAATGGGCCCTTTGGACCCTTAGGGTTTCTGAGATCCTAAACCCTAAACCCTAAACCCCTAAACCCCTAAACCCTAAACCCCCAAACCCTAAACCCTAAACCCCTAAACCCTAAACCCCTAAACCCCTAAACCCTAAAACCCCTAAACCCTGTTTTCTGCAAGGAGCCGTGAAGCTCCCCTTCTCTGGCGGCTCGCTGGCCGCAACACCATCCTTTTCACCAGGGCACAACGGCGTGTGTAGGGTTCATGTTTAAGGGTACTATAGGGTTTTGAAGGATTCCTTTGAAGGGATCTACAGGGTTTAGGAGTTCAGGGGTTTAGGGCTTTAGGGGTTTAGGATTTAGGGGTTGGGTTTGTGTTTATTGTTCTGTAGGCATTCACCCCGAAGGGCGATCATATGGCTTAGAGTGTTCGGTTTCCGGTGACAGAGTAAGGGGGTGTTGGAGTCAAGGGCTTAGGGGGTTTAGGGGGGGAACATTATCTCCGTTTGCTTAAGAACAAGCCAACTTCCGGAATCCCAGCACAGTCATCCTTTGTCTTTTTTTGGCTTCGACCTCAAACCATGGACCCCTAATATGGAGCAGCGAAATATTCAGGCTATGACCCAATGTCTACTATACCCATAGGCCCCATAGTAGTTCCTTTTTGGGATTACCTTGTAATAAAACTCTATATATGAACCCCAGAAAGGAACTACTATGGGGCCGATGGGTAGTGGTTGCATGCCCCAAGAAATCCGTTGCTTGGAAGCGCATCAAACTCAACTTTCAGCTGCTTGATTGCTCCGTAGAGCTGATTTGCAGCCTTGTTTCTTGTCCTGTGTGCAGGTAACAAGACCTTCTCCGCATCCTTGGGTTGTTTTCCCAAGTGGATGAACCACCCGTAGACCCTAAGGCTCCATGTACCCATATAGTATATACTTAGGCCTTAAAGTAGATATATAGGGACCCCTTCGAGGCTTAAGTATCTACTATAATAGTACATGGAGCCTTTGGGGGGCCTTACGGCTCTGCCCAGCGCCGCGTCTTCCGAGACGCCGTCCCATTCCTCCGCCAAACCCAAAAGCTCCATGTAGCATTACAGTAGATACTTTAGCCTTAAAGGGGTTCCTATATAGGTACTTTAAGGCCTAAGTATACGCTATATGTGTACATGGAGCCTTAGGGAAAGTCTGGCGCCATGTGCTAAGCTCCTCCACATCGGTCGGCAGGTGGCTACGCTTGATCAAAGGTTCCTGCGGAACCCATGAACATGAACCTGTACATGCTGCTTTCTTCCTGCTGCAACCCGACGAACCACGAACTGAGTCATCGACGCGCTCTACGGTTTTTGCGTGGTGCTTATAAGGCTTAGGGTTTGGGGTTTAGGGGTTATAGGGTTTAGGGTTTAGGGGTTTGGGTGTTAGGTTTGCTTTTTGAGTGCAGTAGGCACTCACTCCGAATGGCGATCATATGGCCTACTTGGAGGGTCGGAAAACTTGGTAACTGGTTCTTTTAGGGACTTATAAGTACCATAACCCCAATTAGGGCCCCTTCTAGGGTACTTATAAGTCTACTTACTACCTACTTACTAAGTCCCCCGACCCTCCAAGTAGAGTGTTCGGCTTGGGGCTAAGGGTTTAGCTGGGGCTTGAGACTTTAGGGCTCTGGGGGGCTTAGGGTTTCAGGGCTTGGGGTTTTAGGGTTCAGGGCTTCGGGGTTTAAGATCATCCCCATATGCTTCGGATCGAATATGATTCGGGAAACCCAGCAGAGACATCCTTTCTCTTCTTGTGGCTTGGACCTCAATCCAAGCCCGTGTTTCCCCTAATAGCACCGAAATTTTCAGGCTGTGAAGTGACTATCATAAAAGTTGCATACCCCAAGAAACCCCTTGGTTAGAAGGGTGCTTATAGCCTACACGGACCTCCACGCCCGCCCTAATAAGCGAAGTTGCATTTTCATACTCTGCACCCCAAACCGATCACTTTTTCGGATTTCGCCATAGGCTTCGGAGTTATACTTTCATCGCTCATATGATGAAACTAAAGAGGTGCAGGCTGGGTGTAGGCAATACAGGGTTCCTCCGCAATGACACAAGGACTCGCCTTCAGACTCCAGAAAACATAGCAGAATAAACTCCGGTTAAGGACCCTGCATACAGTAGACAAAACACGCTCAAGGATGGCATTGGGTTTCCCAGCTGCGCGCAGCTGGAAACCCTGAACCCTAAACCCGAATTGAATCCTGCGTCCCCTGCCGGCAACACTATCGGCTATCGGTCCCAACTTCCTGACGGCCAACGCTGCCCTCAAGCGCACAGTCTGCCCGTTCTCATGCGGGTATATACCCCCCCCACACTCCGCAAGCAAATGCCTCGTTCAGAACCGGGCTGGACTGAACTTGAACTGTCACCTCGGGACGTCGGTTTGAGGAGCCTGGGATTGGAGGTTCTGAGGCTTTGCAACGTCTGCTGGAGCGCTGCTTCAATCGTGCGGAGCATTAACAGAGCCTAGGTCCCACCTTCCAGGAGCCCATATTGCCCCTAAACCCTAAACCCTAAACCCTATATTTTGAGTATCCCCATCAGGCCCCCATTAGGACACCCAAAAGACAAGCTAAGCACCTCAAAGCCCCAAGATAAACTTCATGCATAAATAAACAAGAACCAATCAAAGATGCCCCCCCCCCAACACCAGCAACAGCCTAAAAGCTACTTCCTAAGGGGTGATCCTCTACAGCATGGCAGCATGGCCCTAGGCAGCAGTGCAGGATAGATCAGTTGGCTTCATGGTTTAGAGTAAGTTTAGAGTCTACTTGAAGTCTGCATTGTAGTTCCTTTCTTCGTGAGCCAAGTTTGAATTTTAAGATCCTGGCCATAGAACTTGTTAACCAGAGAAAGGAGCTACAGTGGAGACTGAAGGTACTGCTGGAAACTTGAGGTTCTACGGCCTACTGGAGGCAGAGGGGTTGGTTGCCTTGCTGCGCAGGTTCAAACTATGCAGGTGCACATATATATATATATATATACACGTATATGTATACTTCCTTAAACAACGAGGTAGGTCTCTTGGGCCAAAGGTGACCCTAAGCCGACTCGAGGGCTAAGAGTTTCGGGCTTTTGATGACCTCGACAGTAAAGCCTGCTTCCCTGACGAAGGCGTTCTAGGAGGGCTACCAAGAGAGTTTTCACAACCCCAACTTAAACCCTAAATCCCTTTTTCCAGCACGTGCCCGCCAGTGCCTACGCAACTCTCAACCCCCTTTTTAAGGCGGGAGCTCGCAGGGCAAGCTGTGGATGACAACGGACTAACCCTAAACGTAACCCTAAACCGAAATGGTATAGAACACTGGGAAAGATCTCGGAGCACGCACCTATGTGTAGGCATACTGTAGGGTTTAGGTTTGGAGTTAGGGTTGGAAGTCTAAGGCTCACCAACTTGCATCGATGCGTCTGAGTCGCATCCTCAACCGTTTCGCAGCAGCACCACATGGCGAGATGCAAATCAGCACCCGTGCTGGGTCTTAGACCCCTGGATAAGGTAAACTAGGTGAACCAAATTGGGAGTTTCCGAAAATTAGGGATACCTTGTTTTGGGGTCCTTATAATAAGGATCCTACTACTTCGGGTAATTACTATATTGGTGTCCCCCATTTTCGGAAACTGCCAATAAACTAAACCAGGTATTCTTCAGGGTCCGACAGCAACGCTGCGAGGGTCGCTCCTCGTTTGGCAAAGCACTTGGGGCGTAAGGTTGTGTCTAGCCTCTCGAGTTGAATCAGAGCTGTAGGAAGCACGATATTTCCCTCCGAACTCTAATCCCTCGTTAATATAGGGGCCTGAATAATTAGAATAGGGCTTGGGGCCCAGTATATTACAACATTACTAAGGAACACCCCAAATAGTATAGGTAAGTATGAAGGCCCCTATGTTGCTCTCCTCCTTCTGATTGGGTCAGTTTCGAGCTAAGAGGCTCAATTTTATAAGGGATTAAGATACATGAAGTAAGATCTTAGAAGATGTTCAGAAGATTTACAGACGTACTCTGGAGCCCAGGTACAGCGCAGGCAAATCACGACAAACCCTAAACCCTAAACCCTGTACTTTGTTGGTGGGTGGTGAGGCGCTTGGCACAGAAAGCCATTCTTGGCCCTACATCGGGGTGGAGCGGCTGGATTACCTTGCAACCCGAAAATCACAGCCCGTTTGTGTACCCCTGAACCCTGTGTGCAGGAGGCTTGCTGAGAATCAGCCGAGCACCAAGGAAACCGACAAATGTGATGACTCAGCTTCCTCTCTTAATCTCCTACTTAAAGGATCATGGGATACTTATAGCTACTTATGACCCCAATTCAGGTACTTAAAACCGTACTTACTAAGTCCCATGATCCTCCAAGTACCCTGTTCACAGATGCTTCTCTGGTAGAAGTGCAGGTTCTAAGCCTGTAAGATTGTGCACCCTGCCCTGGCTCTCAACAAAATTCCCAACTCCTGTGACCTTTGTTTTTCTTGACGGGTTACCCATCCGGTAATCAGCCCTATGATTGCAGTCCCACCTCCCCTCCCTAATGTTAAGAAGTATTAAAGACGCCCTTCCCACTCGTCACCCTAAACCCTCAGCCCGAACAAAAATTCCTCACTGCTCCTTTCTACTCCCCTCTTGTGGCAGACCACCGACTCCTGTGGTCCCCTGAGATCCCCGGTTGGATTAGGGCCTCCCTCAGTGTTTCGACTTCCGCTTCAAGGGTTCACTGTTTAGGATCTGCGACATTTGGGAGTTTCCGAAAATAGGGGACCCTAATATAGTACCCTAAATAGTAGGATCCTTATTACAAGGACCCCAAAATAAGGCACCCCTAATTTTCGGAAACTCCCATTTCAGGGTTTTGGGATGGAGGGGTTAGGGTTTAGGGTTGAGGGGTTCGGGTTTCGTGGTTCTTGGCTTTGTCGGCTGCTGTTTCGGGTTCCGGCGCTTTCGCCTTCAGCGTCACAGCCTAGCTCAGTCAGACGGCAATCAATTAATTTGGTACTGCCCCCATACAGTACAGGGAACTCCAGAAAGTTGGAATATGGTTTCAGGGTAGGATACCCTATATTTTACCATAAAGGGTTTAGGATAATCATACTCCAACTTTCTGGCTTTTACTTTAATTAGGTACTGGCCCCCATACAGTAAGAGTCTATAATAGGGCTACTACTCAGGTCCTTCAATATATCTATATTATGAAGATTTATTCAACTATTCCTGAGTGGGGGCCGTACCCAACCAATCAAGCGTTTAGCTGAGGGCTGAACCCATTCCTATTGCAGCTGCTGCCATTGTTCATGCTTAGTTGCCCAGTATCCTAGAGAAACTAAAGGTTAATCGCAGGGGTTATGCTTATAGAAGCGATAGACTCCAAAAACGGGTTATACTCCAAAACTGGGCTATGCAACTCGGGCAGAGGGCCCGGCAGTTCGGTACCGCCCGAGCCCGGCCGCGGGCGCCCAGCATGGTGGCCGTGATCCGGTTTCGACTGGGGCCTGGGAAAAAGAGCGAACAAGATAGCTATACTTGGAGGTTCATGCCTTTAAGGGTCCCTTTAAAGGGATCTATAGGGATTCTATAAGGGTATAGGGTTTAGGGCTTACTTGGAGGTTCATGGGTAGGTAGTTATAACTCGGGTTCTAAGCAGGGTAACTGTACTTACAACTTATAACCCACATTAGGGGACTTACAAACCCACTTATAGCTACCCCTGAACCTCCAAGTAGTCTCCATTGTAGTTCTTTCTTGGGGTTAGCTTATAGGATCCTGAACAAAAAGCTGACTAAACCAAAAACGAAACTACGATACAGACTACAGGTAGGTCGTCTTATAGGGCTTAGGGTTTGGGAAGGTAGGTCCTCCCAGTGGTTTAGGGATTGTAGGTCCTGTTGGTTTCGGGCCTTTCGGGTGTAGGGCCTCGGAAAAGGAAGGGTGAAAAGGGCAGGTCCTCATCATAACGGTCTAGGGTTTGGGGGTCTAGGGGAGGGGTGGAATCTGCGGGTCCATGTACTGCTTTAGGGTTTAGGGAGCGAGTACATAGTCGGTCCTAGAAGCTGTCGCACAGCGACCTCAAAGTCAAACTATATACATCTACACACCAAAGCCTGGTGATCTAGAAGCGAGACAAACCAGGGAAGACGGACAGCTTCAGTCGGTCCTTCTGCTGGTTTAGTTTAAGCTCATGTTGGTCTCCGGCCCAAAGGAACGGTACTGTTGATGATATAAATCCTGCATTACCTCAAGGACCTTAACCTCTGCAGGATTTCTATCAACCGTAGGTCGTTATCCTGAGGACCCGCTTACTAGTTCATGATTGGGATAGGATTAAAAATTCAATTTTGTCTACTCCTTATTGGGTGTAAGTAACCATAAAAAAATTAAAATGTTACCCAAATATGACAAAGCTTAGATGGGGGTCTATGTTTGGGCCTTGAAGTAACCAGGGAGAAAAAGTATAGAGACTGTTTTCTCATAATTGGTTCCCTTTAAGTAAAAGGTCCCCCAACAAGTACTACAGTATGGTACTCCAAAGCCCAGCTATGTTGGGGCTAAATCTGGTGCCTCAGAGGACTTCGGACTTCAGTCGCCATGGCTTGAGGATGACTTGGAGGTTCAGGGGTAGTTATAAGGGTTCAAGTTAAGGGTCCCTTTTAAAGGGATCTATAGGGATTCTAGAAGGGTATAGGGTTTAGGGTTTACTTGGAGGTTCGGGGTAGTTGTAAGTGGGGTTATAAGTCCCAGAAAATGGGTTATAAGTATAGCCGCCCTACTTGTAACCCTACTTATAACTACCCATGAATCTCCAAGTACAGTATGTGCTCAGTGGCCGACTTTGGATGAACATAACCCTGCGATGCGCACTGGTGCTTCACTGCTTCCGGTGCAATGCAAATCTGTGGGTACTTGGAGAGTCGGGGGACCTATAGTAAGTAGGTAGTAAGTAGACTTATAAGTACCCTATAAGGGATCCTAATTGGGGTTATGGTACTTATAAGTCCCTAAAAGAACCAGTTACTAAGTCCCCCGACCCTCCAAGTAGGGACTCTGTTTTACAGTTGTGCCGGGGCCTGGGGCTTACATGGCTGATGGTTATTTGGCTAGGTAGGGTTTTCGCGCTCATGATGTCCGGGGATGAAAGCCAAAAAAGACCGACTGCCGCTTCAGCTTTGGTCCCTGGAGTGGCGTTTTAGACCCCAAGTAGCAGGGCCATGATTTCAGGTATTCACCTTCACCCCTTTATTACGCTTCTAAACCCCTAATCCGAGCCCTAAACCCCAAAACCCTGAAACTAAAACACCAAAACCACAAGCTCTAAAACACCTTGCTCCCACCGTAGGCCCTAAACCCCACGCCGAGCCAAGGCAACGGCGGGACGGGCACCTTTTGGTAGGCCAGCTCCCTTGCAGGTTTGCCTCGCACAGGGTAGCGGCTCGAAGCGTAGGGCTTTGGGTATGAGGGCGGTGGGGGGATAGACTGATTGTAAGTGAACCTAGTGTTTAGGGTTTGGGGTTTGAGGGTTACAAAACTTAGGTCCTTAGGTTTAGGGTGTTCTGGTTTACGGGGGTTTCAGGGCATACGCCCTCAACCTAAACCGCAGGGGGTATGCTTTGATTGCTTCGTTCTCACTGTTTGTGTCTTCGCAGCTGTGTAATAAGGCCTCCGGAATGGTACGCATAGATGGTGGAAGTCCACTGTCGACTCCCGACAGAGTGTCGAGACCGATATCATGCGGTCGACTGTTGCCTACTACCCTACTTGCAGGTTCATGGGTAGTCAAAGTGGGGTTACAAGTCCCCGAATATGGGTCATAAGTATAGCTACCCCACTTATATCCCTACTTATAACTACCCATGAACCTTCAAGTAGATCCCTAAGAGAAAAACCTTGAAATCCTAGAAGCCCGAATCCTAAAGCCACAACCAGGTCCGACCCCGGCAGCTCTGGGTAGTCGAGCCTCAGTCGGATTCTGATTCAAACCTGCACCTACATGAAAGTTTCCGAAAATAGGGATTGGGGTCCCAGGTTTAGGGACTAGAGTTGTAGTTCTAGGCTCTAGGTTTGCAGGGCGTGAAGGAACAGGGCTTCAGCAGTTTGGGATGGCCTCCTGGTATGAGATTTGAAAAGCATCTGCTGATTCGCGACTTTTCTTTGCGAGACAGAGAGTGGAGATGCCTTCACCTCCAGCGGCGCAATAAAGACACACCGGCTGGCCTGGTTTTAGTCGAGAAGAGAAAACCGAGACCATATGGGGGTTTCCGAACACAGGGGACCCTAATATAGCACCCTAAATAGTAGGATCCTTATTGTAAGGACCCCCAAAAAAGGCAACCCCCTATTTTTCGGAAACTCCCATACTGACAAATACCGGACCGAGACAATCTCAAGCAGTCTGATCTGGTCTGGAAGCTTTCTTGGGAAACACGAGCGTGCCATTCCTGCAGTAATAAACCCTGGGCATCTAAGGACTCATATATTGAGGCTTTTGGGCTATTTTGATGCCCAGGGAAAGGGGCCTTATGTTTTTGGGCATATCAAACTATATAATACAAAGGCGCAAAATAGTAATAACTGGTAATTATTTAGGCCCTATATTAGTTGGGGGCTTTACGGTTCGATTTCGAGTTGGGAAATTTGATACTTTACGTACGATGTTTACGCTTTTTTGACCAGCCTGCAATCGAAACTCGTCTTCACGCCACCTTGGTGCTGTTCCCTGTCACGGCTCGATTTACAATTCCTGAGATGCTGATGGATTTTACCTGGTACCAAGCCAGAAAAGACTGGATTCCTACATTTGGGAACAGAGACAAACCCTACACCCGAAACTTAAAACCCTCAGTCACAGGGTAAAAAGGAGGGACCCCTAATAAGGACTTCTAGGTATATACCCATAATATAGCCATTATATACTCGTGAAATAGCCCATTATAGGGTAGGGGTCCCCATTAAGGGTCCCTCCTTTTCCCCTTTGACTCAAACTCTCTTGTTTGCCACTGGGCTTGCGGCTAGCCAGATCACCAAACTCTCTAACCCTAAAACCCTAAATTCTCAAATCCTAAAACCCTAATTTTAACAACCTAAAAACTATAAGCCGAAACCCAACAGAACCCTAAACTCTATTACCTTAAGCCCCTATAGGGTATATGAGTTTACCGGCTGCCTTCTTCGGTCGCCGACTTTTTGCTAACCTTACATTCGAAGGTAAGTGCTCCTGAAACTCCGAAAGCCAAACATGGTTGTACCTTTCGAAATTAAATCTAACGTAGGGTTTAGGGTAGTCCAAGCATGCAAACAATAACGGAAACCTTCTTGCTATCAGCAAGTATCCGCTCAGATACCAGCATTGAGATGTGGCAGCTGCACTAAAACTCTGTGCGACAAGCCTCCCTAAACTTCGGTGAAGAAAACCCTCTAAGTCCACACACAAAGACAGTAGTAGAGTTCGATGACACCTTATAGTGCCCCACCACCACCACAGCACCAACCCTAAACCCTGAACCATCAAATCTTCATATTGCAAACACGTAGCCCTCATCTAGGCGTGGGCAAGATACCCTGTGTGGCAGTTAGTGCTCTTTCGGGAAATCGGGAAATCAAGGCAACCCTGTACTCTATAGCAATAGGGACTCCATGGTCGACCTTCTGATTCGCGTCACCTTCCTCTAAAGATCCCTGTCGAATGAGAGCACGCTGGTTTGGAACAACCCAAGACCGCAAAGGCCACGACTTGAATCATGCCTGCGGCGTGGTCTTCCTGAACATTCGACCTATCAGCTCCCTCTCAAACCATCTCAACCGACCTTTTTGGAGTCATGGGGTTCATGTAAGCAGTACCATGGAAGAGCCGCTAAATCCCGCTTTCCAGTTGCAGGTACAACGAAGCTGTTAGAGCTTTTCAAGTTTGAGACGTATAAATACTACTGTAAACAGAGCTCATAATAATACGAACCATAAGAATAGCACTAGTAGTAAACAAAGTTGATCAGGGCCCCTAAACCCTACCCTAAGGCTCCTAAGAGGGTCTTGGGCTTTCTGGGGGAGGGTTTCGGCTTTGGGGGCTACGGTCCGGGATCTCACTTCGAGGGTCCAGGAGCCTTAAGGTAAACCCCAAAACCCTAAACCCCCTACAGTAGAAGCCAGATAGTTGGAATATCATTATCGTAACCCCTTTAAGGTAAATTCCAGGGTATCCTACCCTGAAACCATATTCCAACTTTCTGGAGTTCCCTTTAAACCGTTCAGGGTCTCAGAACCCTCGACCTTTGCAACCCAACAGCTGCTAATACTTTTGATGAGATAGAAATCCTACATTACCTTAAGGATCTTGGGAATTATGTTATATTCCTTATTATGGGTAATTCAGGAATTATTTGATCAACCGTAGTTCAAGCAGAGCTGATAGCAATGCCCCCCTCTCTCTCGCTCTCTGCCCCGTCTCTCTGGCTGGAGCGGGCGACGTTGCCGGTAGGCTCCAGAATTTGACCGCAAACTCTGAAGCTGTATGGGTGCGGATCCCCGGGGAACGTCTGCAGAGACGTCACTAGAACCAATGCGTGACACAGACTAGTGGCTTCATAGCAGATCCCACCGAATCGTTCCCGTGAGTAGATAGAACTAAGGAGGAACCTGAGCACTAGTTCATGTACTTGGAGGTTCATGGGTAGTTATAAGGGTTCAAGTTAAGGGTCCCTTTAAAGGGATCTATAGGGATTCTATAAGGGTATAGGGTTTAGGGCTTACTTGGAGGTTCATGGGTGGTTATAAGTAGGGTAACTACACTGATAACCCATATTCGGGGACCTATAACCCCACTTAAAACTACCCCTGAACCTCCAAGTAGTCTCCACCAAGCAGCCTAGTGTTATGTTGCGCAAAAGTGGTTGGCGATGCAAAATTCCTGCTTTTGGCTGCTGCTGTAGTAGAAAGCTTCGCAGGTCGAACCAAACACTGCTCATGAAAACCTGTTTAGCGAATATCAGACAGGAAAGTACTCGGACATACGCACCGAAAGCCAGCACCTGGAATCAACCGGCCCTTCGTGCACTTCACGCCGCCAGCAACGGAGGCATATAAGGTCAACACCATTTGGCGTTTGAATCCGGAATAACATTTGTAGACGACATGAGCCATTGAACAGACTCCAGGAGAACGTGGAACTACGGACTCATACAGAACGCAGGGGTCCTGTAGTAATCCTGCAGGAGCTCTCAGAAAAATGGTTCGCACGTCGTCAGGCAACCTAACATAACTTGCCAAGTCAAAGCAACTTCTGGAAGATGGCAGTGACTCGGTGAATGCACACAGAAAAACAGAGGGATCCTCACTTTTCTGAAGCCCTGTACCTGACACCCAGATACCCAACATCCCACAGAGATACACTTTCAGGATTTGTCAGGCTTCTCGATCAAAGGCTTCGAGGGCTGAGGATCGTTAACAGATGGGTATCACAGGATCTGCTTTTGGAGTTTCGGCTTAAGGTTACTTCGGGTTCAGGGTTCAACGAAACTTAGGGCTATGGCTTTCGGCATACCTAGAGCCCTAGGCCTGAGAGTGTGGGCTTAAGCATGGCTTGTAGTCATCCCTATAAACCCACTCCCCCCTTCTCTACTAAGAACGAGGGAATGGGTCAGCCCCAAGCCCTAAAGACCTAAACCTTAAACCCTATGAGCCCTATGAACTCAATGAAGCCTCAAACCGCAAACCCTCTGACCCCTACAAGCTTCATACTCAAGCGCTTTCCCTGAATCCTAAACCCTGAACCCTTTCCCTAAACACTAATCTGCCCTGAACCCTTTTCCTAAAATCCTAAACCCCATTATAAACCTATACCCTAGAACCCGAGAACCCTAAACCCTAAAACCCTAACGCCCTACACCCTAAACCTTTCACCCTAAAACCTCGAAAACCCTGAAACTGATGCAGGATCCTAAACCCTAAACTGCCAAAACCCTTTCCCTAAACCCAAAAAACCCTAGGCTTTAAACATTTAAGCCTAAAACCTCATAAACCCCAAACTGGTCCCTTGACTGCCCTAAACTCAAAAAACCCGAAACCCTAGACCCTCAACCTTAAAACCCTTCTGATTCTAAAACCCCTATCTGATGCAGGATCCTAAACCCCTAAACCCTAAAACCCTAGACTTTAAACATGTAACCAACCCTAAAACCCTAGACCCTAAACCTTAAAACCCTTCTCTAGACCTAAGAGTAACGTAAGAACAAAAAGGGTGCCCTTTTTGGTTTAAAGGGGATTATAAGGGAACCGAAACTCTCAAAAAGGGAATAAGGCCCTCCTCTGGGTCCTAGTTCTGAACCCCTACATCTGATGCAAGGATCCTTCTGCGGCGACTCTTCCGGCCACGCAGGGCAAGACTAAAATCCTCGAGAGTCCAACAGCGCACTCCTTCCCAAAGAGGGGTTTCCTGAAAAAGGGGGCTCAATGTGGAGTTCCTTCCCAAAGAGGGCTAAGGGCTTCTTATGAGGGTTCTTTAGGGGTTCGATACAGATTCTACAAAGGTTTTTTGAGGGTTCAAGGGTTTCTACAAGGGTTCTGCAAGCGGGTTAGGGTTTAGGGGTTTGGGGTTTCATGTTTTGGGTTTAGGGTGTGTCAAGGGGTTCTGTAAGGGTTCCACACAGATTCCATGAGGGTTCACTAAGAGGCTCTATGAGGTATCTTTGAGGGTTCTCTCAGGGTTCGATGAGGGTTCTCTACGGGTTCTTTAGGGGTTCTATAAGGGCTCCTTCCTAAGGAGGGCTTAGGGGATCGTAAGTTGTTCATGCTACATACGTCATGAAAGCGCGGCAACATGTAGACAGATCGCCCGAACCTCTGAAACTCCCTATATCCCCTCCGTGGCCCTAAACTCCTCCGGTATGATTTGCGGCGTTGTGGTTCAGTAGCTTGCTCTCTGGGTTCCAGTGCAAGAAGGACGAGTGAACATAAGAAGGACAAACAAAAACCGAAAGCCCGGACCCTCAAAAAACCGAAAGTTATAGGATCCTTAAGGGGGGGTGGTTCAAGGGGGGAGGGTACAAGGAATCCTTAGGGGAACCTTAGGGAGTACTAGGGAGAGTTAGGGATCACTAGGCCATGTACCCCCCTTGGAGCCCCCTCCCTTAAGGATACTATAACTCAAAAAACCGAAAGCCCGGACCGGACCCTAAACCTGAAACCGCCAGGCCTAAACCGAAACCGCGACAACCCCAAGCCCTGAAACACCCTAAACCGTACACCCAAAAAACCCCAAATCCCCCCAGCTAAACCCCAGAATACCTAAACTCAGAATCGATGTGTGCTGCCTTTGCCCTAAAGACTTCGTAGGGCATGTTCAAGTGCTATTGGTCACCTAAACTCTCTACCCTGCACTGGTGAGTGCTGGACCTCCTGGGAAGCTAAGCTAAGGAGCACGCTTCCTCAAAACGGGCCACCGCAATCACAGGGTTTAGGGGTCTCCCAAGATGTTACACAGGTTGGAGAGTTTATCGTGAAATAGCCATATGGGAGTTTCCGAAAATAGGGGTGCCTTATTTTGGGGTCCTTGTAATAAGGGTCCTATTATGTAGGGTACTATTTTAGGGTCCCCTATTTTCGGAAACTCCCATATAGCCCACTGAAGAGAGGAAAGCCTTATGCAATGTACGAGTAGGATGACACTGGAAGAAGAAAATCGTTTGCAATGCTTCACTCCTGTATAGAGCCAACCAACTCTTTAGAACACATCTACGGAATCTCCACGAGCATGGGCAGCATCCGGGTAGCAATGCTTAAAAGTTACTTGAAGATTCAGAATCTGAGAACTCCTAGATGAAGAAACCCTGAAGATCCCTAAAGAAGACGCAAGATTTGCTAACTAGGTTCCTAAAATGCAGCTTGTGGTGCTGCTTGTGGCGGGTAGTACCCCTTTAAAGCTTTAAAGTCTCTACAGTTCTGCCCAAGTTTGCCCCAAAGCCACATTCAAGTTCAATTGCCACCATGATCGGCTCAATGAGTGGTCCGTTTTGAGGAAATCATCCTCTATGCATACAGCTTAAAATTTCTGGAGGCCGGACTGACATTTCAGACGTGGCCAAGTCAGCTGCCAGCAGAAAAGGCTACTGAGCAAATCCACCCTGAAAGAAAAGGGAGCCGCTTAGTTTCAGGTCATCGACCAAACCCCTTGTCCAAGGCTACATGGCAGAAGTTGACACGGCAAATCCCCATAGTCGTCAATCAGGTGGCTCTTTTTCGGCTAGGAACATTGGGTGAAGTATGTCAGCAGTGGTCACTGCTTGAAACCAACCGCAACCGACCCCTGATCACCACCGAAGTCAGCATGCGCCATTTGAGGATATCCAAAAATGAGGGGATCCTAACATAGTACCCTAAATAGTAGGATCCTAAATATAAGGACGCCAAAGTAAGACACCCCCAAAATTTCGTAAACTCCCATTTAAGGGTCCCCAAGACAACCACGTCTGATGTTAAGACAGTCGTATCCATCCCATCATCCGAAAACTCGGCACCCCTGAAGCCTACATCCGAAAACCACGACAACAAAAGGTACCCTGAGCCCAAACCTAGAATCCTAAAGAACCCTTTGAGTTTAGGGTTGAGGGTTAGTGCAGAAGCTAGGGAGAGCGATGAAATCCTTAAGAACCCTAAACTTTGAACCCAAGAAGAACCCCTGACAACTCCCATTCAGAGTCCAGGGTGGCGCGGCCAGCAGTGCTCCGGAAGGCCATCCTTGCCTCCAGCACACTTAGGGTTCTGCAGATTCCTTAATATGAACCCTAGTATCGGAACCCTAATCCCTGCATCAATCCCTACTAAACCCCCATAGGCTAAAACCCGTTTTGGCCTCCTATGAATCAAAGGACAGCAAGAGGGGGTTTAGGGCTTAATATAGGGGTCTTAATGATTAGAATAGGGTTTACGGGCCCATTGTACCATGAATTATAACAAGGAACCCGAACCCCCACAATAGTATAGGTAACTATTACCCATGGGCCCCAAAGTAGCTCCTTTTTTGGGGTTCCTATTTAGAATCCTATAAGGTAACCCCAACAAAGGAACTACTATGGGGCCTTAGGGTAAGGCGCCTCAAAGTATAGGACTGAAGGGTTTAGCGTTCAGGCTTCAGGCCTTTTATGGTCTTGCAGGTGTAGGATCCGGACGATTCAGGGTTTAGGGTTTAGGTTTTAGGATTTAGGGTTTAGGCTTCAGGGAAGAAGGCGGTTTCGGCTTAGGGGTTTTAAAGGAGCTCAGGGCTTCAAGTGAAATCATCTGCCTGGAAATGAGCAAGGCTTCGCGTTGCTTATTTGGGTGGGCAGCGTTTAGGGTTCCAGGCATAGTGTGTAATGTGTGTCGCATCTCGATCAGACAGGCTCACGCCATCAAACACAAGGCCAACAGTACAGACACTGGGACATAACAGCCGGACCAACAACGGAGACCCACAAACAAAACTTAAGGGCTGTAGACCACAGCGCGAACCCCATTGGCCAGACTCCTCTAAACTAACTTCTCCAGTATCCCCACAATGACTCAGGGTATCCTTCTGCTCGAAATCATGACAAAGCCAAACTTAAAGAGCCCAAACAACCACAAGCCGACCCAGAAACCTTAGAAAACACTGCAAACCCTAAACCCCCAAACACAAGCACTAGACTCACTTTTTGCATCCAGGCCTATTGCGGCTGCCGGGCACACTAGACATTTCCAACCCCTAAAACCTACAAACCCTGAACCCAGAAACTTCAACACCACACATCACGAAACACTAAAATACCCGGCAAACATCACTAAACCCAAAACCCTGAAGCCATAAGCCCTGTAGCCCTAAAACCCTAAACCCAAACCGTCAAAGGCCCAGCTGCAAACGTACTCCTGCAGGGCGGCTTCAACGCCGCCTTCCGTCTTCTCCTCACTAGGCTTTGGGGTATAACCCCAAGGGTCCAAAGGATCCATTAATTGGGTACTCGGCTTTAGGATAGTGATTGTGTAGGTTAGGATTTTGGAGAGTATATGATTATTGGGTACTGGGACCCTTGGTGTGGTGGACGGTAGTTGGGGGGTCGGGGGACTTAGTAAGTAGTTAGTAAGTAGACTTATAAGTATCCTAAAAGGGACCCTACTTGGGGTTATGGTACTTATAAGTCCCCAAAATAGCCAGTTACTAAGTCCCCCGACCCTCCAAGTAGTTGGGGGGTCTAGGTAACTGGCTTTAGGTTACAGAAGGACTAAGGATCAAGGGCATGGGCCGGGGCAAAGTTCGGGTCTCTGGTTTTTGAAGCTTTGCTCATGAGGCTTAATATATGGGCGGTTGTCAAAATTAGGGTCCGGTTTGGGTTCTTGTTGTAATACGGCACCTATTGCTTAGGGTACCCGAAAAGGGAACATAACTTTGACAACCACTCAGACTTGGCTTTGGGGTGAGGGTTTAGAGTTTAGGGCTTAAGGCGTTTAAGGGTTTTAGGGTTTAGCTGAGGAGATTTAGAGCTTAGGGTTTTTTCTCTCCGGCCCAAAACCCAAGGAAACAAAAGTTGAACCTTTCAGAATCGACGACCTTCTAAGAACCCCAAAAGTTGAAAAGTTGAGTTTACAGCCAATAAGTTTTGCGGGTTTAGGGTTTTCCGGGGTTTAGGGTTTTGGGTTTTAAGGCTTTAGGGTTTAAGGTTTTTTAGGGGCTCCAGGGTAACGTTTGGGGTTCAGGGATGCTTAGCCCGGAGCGAGTCAGCTGTCCGGGCGTGACGTTGCAAAAGGGATGCTTTCGTTCAGGGTCCAGGGGTGTTTCATGTCATATGGGTTCAGGGACGTTTAAGTTTTCAGTTTAAAGGTTTGCAAAGAAAGACAGCTAAACCCTGGACATCCTACGTGTTAAGGGACTTCTAAAAAGAAACAATATCCCAAAAGGGTAGGGTTTGGGGTGTTATAAGGTAGACTTCACGGCCTTCGCCCGCCCTCGCGTTCTCGACCTCCCGAGCTTCGCATCAAATCCCCAAATGCAGGACGAACCCAGAATCCCACGAGGTGGGGTTTTGGGGTTTTGGGGGAGGTGGGGGTTAGTGACCCCATAAGCACAAGCATGTTCTAGTGAGATCCCTACATTCCGAGACCCCCCAACTACCCTCTAATATACCCTGACTACCCACTATTAAGCACAAGGACTAATAAAGGGTCATTGGGGAGTCCTGGCTCACCCCTAAACCCCAAGCCTTAAAAAACTCTAAAAATTGAGATAAGCCCTGAAAAACTGAACCATATACTATAAACCCTAAGACGAACCGCAAAGTAGTATAGATATAAATAAGGCCCCTGTGGTAAACCTTAAACTACTATTTGCTTAAGAAACCCCCAAAAAATAAAAATAATAATCCCTATACTACCCCCATAAGGAATATATTTTTTATTTTTTGGGGGTTCTTAAGCAAACAGTAGTAAAAGCCCTAAGCCCTCTTTGCAAATAAGCCACACTGATGAGCACACAGCGACTCCGGGTATTCGTGTCAACCAGAGCCAGGCAGAGGCCTCTTGGGGTTTGCTATACTGAACTTAGAACCCTAGCAAAAATTGTAATTTTAGCTGTTTCTTAGGGATTATAAGAACCAGAAATTAAAAATTGTTTCTAAGTACCCCTTAGTTTAGGGCTCTATGGGTTTGGGGGTTTGGGGGATTCGGAGTTTAGGGTTTAGGGTTCAAGGGTTCAAGGGTTTAGGGATTAGGGGTGTAGGGGTTTAGGATTTAGGGACTTAGGTTTTTAGGTGCAGGCGTTTTATAGAGTTTCATACGGGCTATACGGGTGCTATGAAGAAAGGATGCAGGCTCCTCTGGCTGCTTCGGGGGCAGCGGGTTTAGGCTCCAGGGTTCGTTTTCAAGCCATACATCGAGGATTTGGGCGCCAGAGACATGCTATGGCTCAAAAACCCGTTAGACGAACCCTAAGCCTAGTAGTACCGTTTAGAACCCCTCAAGTGAGAAACCATAAAACCCTATCGCACCCCTTAGTATATTTCCCGCTGTTTAAATACCCCCAAGGGAAGTCCGAAACCCCACGCCCCGATCGCGACCTGGAGCCACCAAAGGCCTTGCAACTGCCCTCCACGTGTCCCCTATACTATTCCCGAGAGTTCCTTTAAAGGGGTCCTTAAGAGGGCTACTACAAGGGATCTATATGGGTACCATAATATGTAAGGGCCTTAATAATTACCTATACTATTTTGCGGAGGCTCCCAACTGACTGGATCAAGACTCCGCCTGGCACACATTGAACGACGCACCATCAGGGGAAATCAAGCGGCAGGACATTGGAATAATGGCATCCAACTTTTACAAAACCCTAAACCTAAACCTCACAACCTAAACACCAACAAAGCCATGAAAACCCTAAACCCAACCTCCCACAAGATTGGGTCTTGCGTGTGAGACGAAAGGCTCACAAAGAACTTCAGCGCCACGGGAACGGGATAAACCACGATCCTCTGGAGGACTCCGGGAAAATTCCTGCAGGCAATGTCGGCTTCTGCTGGGGTCTCTCTCTCTCTCTCTCTCTCTCTCTCTCTCTCTCTCTCTCTCTCTCTCGCTCTCTCTCTCTCTCTCTCTCTCTCTCTCTCTCTCTCTCTCTCTCTCTATATATATATATACATGTACACAGAAAGTTTAAAATAAAGTAGTGTATGCATGTGTGTATATCTGTTATACATGTTTCTATTGAGTTCCGTGGAAGCTTTGGGTTGAGGATTTTGTTGTGGTAACGGTTCAGTGTCAAGGGTTTCAACTCCCAGCCCACTTGAAGATGCACTTCTGGATACAAGTGCTGTAGGCCTGCTGCACTTGAACTTTCATGGGTGGTTACAGGTAGTGTAGGGCTGCAAGTACACAGGGGTTGAAACTACGAAGGTAGCCAAGTTACAAGTCACAGATCTAGCAATGATTCCGTCACTGCTGCTGCTGCTGCTGCTACTACTACTACTACCACCATCACAACCGAACAGGTAGTCTTCATGTTTGTATTACAACTCAAAGCCTTCATGGAGGTGGTTACGACTATCTGTACGGAAGCTGGCGGTTGGATTTGTGCCTGCCTGCCAACATGCTCTTGCTGCTACTGGCACCATGATGGCTATTTCTGCTTTTGCTACTCCAGCGGGTGCCAGTCCTTCCATGAAGTCCTTTCCTGCTAACCAATGCCGAATAGGACAGCCTCGACCCCCCCCATCTTAAACCCCAGACCCTTAGCAACACGAGGAAACTACTAATGACGCACCTTCCACCTCTTTCAGGGTGCACGTCTGCTCTGGTAGCCTACTGGGGGGCCTGCATGGATTCACATATGGGTAGTTGTCAAAATTAGGGTCCCTTGTTGGGCACCCTAAATATTATATAGGTGCCGTATTATAATAAGGACCCAAAAGGGACCCTATTTTTGACAACCACCCATATGGGAGTTTCCGAAAACAAGGGATCCCATACTAGTTGCTTTGGGTGCATCCACCAGCTCGGCCCCTGGTGTTTCTAAGACTCCTACATAAACTACACCTGTAGCCGAAAAGATCGACCTTTTTGAAGAAAGTATATATAGAAACCATAATAAGGAACCCGAAAAAGGCTTCTTGAAGAAAGTATATGTAGAAACCATAATAAGGAACCCTAAAAAAGGTATATAGGTCTTTTCGGCTACAGGTATACCCTGTAACCCCCAGCCCTTCGATAGGATCCGATGTTGGAGTTGGGGGGAGGTGATTCAAGGGCTCACCTCGCCGGGCATCGAGCGACATGCTTAGAGTTCCAGGGTTTAAAGCTTTCAACAATTAGCTAGGTGCTGGGCTAGGATAACAACACCGACAATCAGCGTAGCATGGGGCGGCAACGGCAAACATTCCTTTTGTCATAACGACAATGGGCATGGCAAAAGCAATGGTCATGACAACAATAACTACTATGCCACTGTACGGGTCATGACCATCACGACAAGAAGAATCGCAGCATCAATAGTGGTATGTTGCCATCCTTACCCCAAACTCGCAAACTCTTGGCCACCCGACACGGGCAATTGCCGAGTGCAAACACGCCTTTGAGCGCAGGAGTACATGATGTCGGGCAATTGGGAATTTGGTGTTTGCAAGAAGCGCACATACTAACGAACCCCCCGGAAGGTATCTTTCTTGCGGCCCAGGTCTATGCTAAAATTGATTATTGGAGCGGAGGTTAGCACCACGAGTCTCGCTCAAGTTTCGGGATTCATATAGGGCCTTTGCCAGTAGGGTAGTGTTACAGGGTATGTTAATGGCATATTATTCCAGTGATTATGCTAAGGAACCCCAAAAAAGCATGGCATTACGATTTTTTCGGGCTTCTGGATGAGATGGCACTATTCAGCTTCTAGATTAGACTGGCGGCTCCCACCCCTGGCGACAGCAACCCTACCCCCTCACCGGAAGAGACCCTGGCCGCTGACCCACAGCCTTCCCCCTCTAAACCCTAAACCCCAAACCCCTAAACTCTGAACCCCTAAACCCCTAAACCCCAAACCCTGAACCCCTAAACCCCTAAACCCTGAAACCTCCAAGCCCCAAGCCTTTCCGATCCTCTGAGCTTAATATATGGGCCTTAATAATTAGAATAAGGTTCTTTTAATAACTGAAAGGGGTCTACAAGGGCTCTTATAAGGATTTAGTATAAGGGCCTTAATAAATAGAATAGGCTTTTGGGGCCCAATATACTATAATTATAATCAGGACCCCGCCCCAAAATACTATTGGTAATTATTTCGGCCCCTATAGTACATAAGGGCGGCTTCTCAGACGAAAAACATGAGTCTCTTCGAAAGCATGGGCAGTCCCAGGCCTAAGAGTAATCCAGGAATAAAAAGGGTGCCCTTCTTGGTTTAAAGGGACTTATAAGGGAACCTCAGCCCTAAACAAAAGGAATGAGGGCCTATGGTACCCTTAAAGGTACCCCTGAACCCCGAAACCCTATAGGACCCTTCCAGGAACCCTAAACCCAAACCCGCAACCCCTAAACCCTCACAAAAGGAACAAGGGCTTACTTTAGGTCCTAGGCAGTCTCATTGAGCATGCCGAACAGAGACTGCGTCCCCCCGGTCTTCTGAAGCCTCTTTCGGGCTCTAAGAATCTGCTTCCGGTATAGGATTTTGGGGTTTAGGGCTTAAGGCCTTTATGATAGCTGCTGTTGCTTCCGTCTTTAGTCGCGAGTAATAGAAACTAGTAACTTTTGAAATTCAAAAAGCTGCATAGCACAGGCTACAGCCTAAGACCTTTTCAGAGGGAAGGCCATCCGTGGCTCACGGCCTAAACCCGTGAACCATAACCCCAACGAAGCTCTAAGCATAAGCCTTCAAGCCCGAGCTCAGACAGCGGCAACAAAGGCAGGAGGTGCGTCGCTGGTGGGTTCGACCAGCCCTCCCCTGCGTAGGCTTTTCCAGGGTTTACGTGCTAGGGTTTAGGGTTTAGGAGTTTAGGGAGTTTAGGGTTTTAGGGTTTGGGGTTGAAGGGTTTTTTGGGCTGGGGGGTGTAAGTTTTTGGCGCTTAAGGTCTCAGGTTTTTGTTTGGTGTTTTTCCGGATTTGTGTGGTTGGTCCACAGCAGGTGAGGCTAGCAAAGCAGGACCGTGCGGATTCTACAGGAGCTCAGTCCAAGACACGACAGCGACAAATTTGCCGAACATGTTTCAAGCGACATCAACCAGTTAGCATCGATCACACCGAAGTACTTTCTGACAAAACAGGTCGGAATGACAACAGAATTGACGGTCGTACCGCTTTCCTGAAGTCTTTGACACCAATCGGCAATTCAAAGCTACGAACAAGCGCATAATCTTATGATGCTCTAAACTAAGATATGCGTGCATTGTGACCAGCCGCACTTTGCAGTCCAAGCAGTGATTCTAAGCTTGACATGTGGAACAACTGACGGCTGCGGTTGAGGGTCCAACAACAGTGAAACTGTGGCCCCGGGTTTTAGTTTAAGGATCAGGATCTGGAAGTTTCCGCAAACCGACTGTTGAACCCTCAACGAAAGTTATAAGTATCCCAAAGAGGGGGCCGCTTAATTGCTAGAAACTCCCATCTAGGCTACGCTTGAGATTTTGGGGCCTTGACGTTAGTTCCATGTGATCCTGCACCCCAGAATCCCTTGGAACAGTGCCTCCAAAGAGGGCCTCTATATCTAAAGCAACATTCGGGTCAGATTACAACAGAATCACACAGTCGGCCTTCATACTTAGGATTTTGGGTAAGGTTACAGCGAATTACAGCTGTGAGGACATGAAGACCCAAAGCCCAGACTTGGCTGACGCCTCCGCGCGTGTCCAGAAAGACGGTAATCCGCCTCTGCTGCATCCCTAAACCCAAAACCCACGTTGGACGGTTTTGGTTTAGGGGATTGGGTAGCCCGATATGCTGCTATCTTGAGGGTTCCATCATAAAACTATAGCACGACATAAACCAATGCCCGATCCCTATGATAAATCTTATCTAAACTAAATCCTGAACTCCTAAATCCAAAGCCCTACTACTATGCACCCCTTTGAACCAGATTAAAAAACATTGTGGTGAATCTTCTCTTGCGTTTTTTTATGGGAAGAAATTCCTAAGGAGACTAGGTGACACCATGTGCAGTCTACTGTACTATTCTAAACCCTAAACTCTAACCCTAAGCCCGAAAACCCTAACCCCTAAACCCCCAAAACCTTAGCCATAACCCCTAACCCCTACTAATACACCCTCCCCGAAACAACCTTTTTTAAATAATACGTCTACTGCTCTTGTATTTTTGGGATTTATATGGCAAAAGCAAAGCAAAAACTCCTAAGGAGACTATAGACTAAGTTTGGCGTCCCTGGATCTGTGGGCCCCCGAGAACCGTAATAGTAGTCTTAATGCTCTCTTGGGATTTATAAACCCTAAACCCTACTGATGTAGGAACCTGAGTAAGAAACCCTGGGCCTATAACCCCAAACAGTAGGATTCATATAATGAACCCTAATAAAGGCCCAAGGTTTCTTCATCAGGTTCCTACAATAAACCCAAACCCCCAAACCCCTAAAGCCCCTACAACCCCTTCATCACGCTCTCTTGAGATTTATAACCCATAAACCCTGATTATAGATCCCTTATAGTACCCCTTATATAATACCATTTCAAGGAACCCTTACAGAACTCTCTTGGGATTTAAAACCCCTAAACCCTACTACACTGGATCTCAGGGTTCCCGTTAAAGGTACCCTTCTAAAGGCCCTAAGGTTTCTTAATCAGGTTCCTAAACCCTAAACCCGAACCCTAAAGCCTAAACCCTAAACCCTACAGTACTGGATCTGTGGGTTCCCAGGCTGGAAGTCCATGGCGTTCTCTTTCGGAGCCAGCTCGTCCAGGTAGGAGCACAAGGCCTACGAGACCAGCACTAAGTAAGGCTTCAGGGCTTCGTGTCGCAGGGTTTCAGCGGTTTAGTATTTGGCTTCAGGATTATGGCGGTTTAGGATTTGGTTTCAGGGTTTGGGCGGTTTAGGATGTGGCTTCAGGGTTTAAGGTCTAGGGTCAAAGGTTTCAGGGTTTAGGCGGGCCTGAAGATAACCGATTGAATTTCACAATGCGGTTCAATGTAGGGGCCTTAACAGATTAGACTAGGCTGGGAGTATGCTCTTATTCTTGAGCTCTACAATGGGGTATTGATGTTGTCCGAATTAAATTATTCTTACTGTTAGTACGATGGCTGTCTTTGCAGCTGTTGTAAAACGTCTACTTCCCCTCCTTATTCAGATTCCTATATCCTGCCGGTGCCGCAGCCTTGAAGTAGGTCTCCGGAGCAATGCTGCAGTCCGTCTGCGCCACCTGCCTGGGCACTTTCGGGTTCAGAGCTAAGGCAGCTAAGGCTTTAATGCAAATACAGGCGTGTTTATCAACGTAACGTACGGGGGGAATCTATGATGTAAGTGTATTATTATGGCATCGGAACCCTAAGCAATCATATTGCGAATTACTCTTGCCTCTAGATATGCAACCCTGGAATCCGAAATCCCAGATCGCCAGGAGCTCCTCCTCAAGTGGACAGCAAGATTACGACAAAGGCGAGCCGGACACATACTGGCCCGCATACACAACTACCATAGTGGCCTTCCTAGGGCGTTGGGGGGTATCTTTTAAATAGTGCGGACAACAACTTCATTCATTCATATGTGCAGACCTCTGTACTATGATGAAAGAAGTGTGGATCCTTTATCACGGACCTCTAACCCTCAAGCGTTTGCGGCCCACCCGCAAGATAAGGAGTGCTTCGCTCACATCCAAGGTGCAAGAATAGCACGTCCGAGCCGTCCTTCCCAAGAGGCGAGGATGGTTTACCAATCACGAAGCATTGGGTCGGTCGTTTAGGGTTTAGGGCTTACCTATAGTCTCATTTGCAGTTCCTTTTCGGGGTTTCCTTATAGGACCCTTTCTCTAGAATTGGTTAAGCCAGAAAAAGGAACTAAGCATTGGGTCTTCGTTGTGGCTTTCTTGAGTTTAGGTTCCCCACTCAGTAATAGGTGAATAATATTCATAATATAGATATATTAGGACCTTAATAGTAGCCCTATTAAAGACTCTTACTGTAAGGGGGCAGTACCTAAAGTTTAGGCCTGTCATAGCAGCTCGGGGCTGTTGAAGATTTACCTTTGGTTAGTAGGGAATGGAGGAATGGGGTACTATCATAATTACTGCTACTGCCATTCTTCCATAAACAAAGGTAAGAAGAGACCACGGTTGAGGTAAGGCTGCGAGGTTTTTTATATCAGCTCCAAGGGCTTAGGCTGATACGGTTTAGGGTTTAGGGCCTAGGGTTTAAGCTGATACGGTTTAGGGTTTAGGGGTGGCCTGGGGTTGAAAGGGCTGTGACAAAATTTGTTGGAAGTGGCTTGAAATCTCCAAACGCCGGAATCTCTAGAACCAGAGTTCAATCTGTATCAATCCAGGTTACTCCAGGGCCACTCGGACACAATCAACGAATCACTGGGAAAGGAGCCCATGACCACCAATGATGCAAGTGAAAAACATAATTATGCTCAGAAACACCAAACCTCAAACCTCAGACCCCGATGCTCCATGTTCGCCAAACCCTAATCCCCTAAACCCTATAGTACCCTAAATGGAACCCCTAAGCCCCAAACCCTAAACCCCCAACTAGACCCAAGAGTAACCTAGGAATAAACAGGGTGCCCTTGTGGTTGAACCGGGGCTATAAGGGAACCTAAACCTAAAAAAGTGAAAAAGGGCCTACTCTGACTCGGGTCCTAGCCTATAATACCCTTAAAGGTACCCCTAAACCCTATAGGGGACCCTTAAAGGAACCCCTAAACCCCAAGCCCTTAACCACTAAACCCTATAAAAGGAACCCCTAAACCCCAAACCCTCTCTCTCTCTCGAGACCCTAAACCTCTAAAGTGGAAGGGAGGCTTCCGACTACGCTTCCGCTTCCCTGGGTCCTTGGCTTTGCTGCCTCGGGAGAGCCACTCCTTGGGAATGCATCCCCGGGCCTGCTGAAGACGCTCATGGTTTGGATTTGTTTGCCATTCCTACTTGTCGGGTATCATGGGGAACTAAAGGATAACCTTTTTGGTTATATAGGGATTATACAGGGAGTATGCGACCCAAAAAGGTTAAAGCGCGACGTGGAATAAGCTGCGTCCCCAGCGAAAGGCGTGAGACGAGCTTCGCCCAAAAAGGTTAAAGGTTACCTACTCAACTACCTGGTATTGCTTTATGACGGGCTCCTTTGGTTCGGGGTTTAGGGGTTTTGACACTCGCACTCGGACAAAGCCTGGCAAGGTCAGGGGTTTAGGGTTTAGGTGTTGTTGTCTCATAGTAGGTAAGGCTTGGGACTTAGGAATATAGAGGTTAGGGTTTCTACAATCCTAAGCCCTAAAGTCCAAGAGATGGGGTTGAGGGCTTAGAGGACTTTTAGGGTTTTTGGGATCCGGGTTCTGAGGAAGATCGTGTGCCGGTTCAGGACTTACAAATTTTCAAACAGGGGAGTTTAACATTCTAGGGTGAAAGGAGAGATCTTGTGATTTGAAGCTCAAGTCTTGGTTTATGCCTATCGTGGCCCCGGAGCACGTCTAGGCTTCAGGGTTTATCAGAGGATCGTAGGGGGTTGGGATTTATGGGCTTGTGGTCTTGATGTTTGGGCTTTGGGACGAGGGGGGTTTTCTATAGGAGTGGAAATCGTGTTTCGTAGTGGCAAGATATGCTGAAAAAAAATCCAAGTCTAACATAGGGGTTGGAATACTGCGTTATAATAACCCTCTACAATCCCTGTATATTCATTCTGGAAGATGCACCAGGATCGTCCTGCATGTATTCAAACGAAACTGTCAGATGAAGGCTCTGCTCTGGGTATAGGTCCAAGCATATGGAACACTCCCGAGCTGAATGGAAGAACTCAAAACAAGACTTGCGCCGTTGGGATTAGGGCTTGAGATAAGGACTTGCATTGTTGCGTCGCCCGCTTCGCGGTTTGGACTTACGGGCCTCAAGGTTAAGGGTTTCCCATGAGGGCTAGTGCTTCGGGGTACTAGATTCTAGATTCTAGAGATTTTGGTATCGGCCTTTGGGCTCATTTGCCTAGAGTCTCGCGCACTTAGTTCTTTTAAAAAATTCTCGTGGCAAGTCCCACCAGGCCTTGATCCCTGAACCTGTGGAGGGTTTTTTCTGTAATCAAGTCAAACGAGACTGTCACCACAAAACCGGTGGGAGTCGCCGGCTTTGTAGATAAAATAGGGGTCTTAATGAGTCTCAATAATTAGAATAATAGGGTTTAGGGGGGTTCCTTATGATTAAAGTAGTAAAATATACCCCCAAGCCCTATTCTAATCATTAAGGCCCCTATATTCAAAAATATCACCAGAGTGCAAAAGTGTGCCTGGGCCAGAGACGACGCGCTGCCCTCATCCTGCCGCCACCTTGAGCAGACTTCGCAGTGAATCGCCGGGATTGTGTGCCTTATGTGTGGCGATGTACTGGTTGAGGATCGGGATGATGGCCGCGATGATGACACTGGCAGTGATAAAAGAAGCACAAGAATCTTGTGACAAGATGCTCACCAGCACAAGCAGCAGTACTACAGGGGGGCTTAATAATTAGAATAGGGTTTGGGGCCCATTATACTATACCTATATTGAGGAGCCCCCAAAATAGTATAATAGGTAATTAATAAGACCTCTATACTAGTTGTCGCCCATGTGTGCCTTCGTCGTGTGGGTGGTGTTTGTGGTCGTAGTCGTGCTAGCGGCAGTAGCGGCAGTAGTGCTGTTGCTGGTGGTGCTGCTCATTCTACTACTAGCACTGCAACCACTGCTACTATTACGACGACTACTACATTACTACAACCACTACTACGACGACTTCCTCTACGGCGGCGACCAAGGCTCTACTACTGCAACAACAACAGCTGCTACAACTACAACTACAACTACTACTACAACAACTCCTCCTACTACCTACTACCACTACTCCGGTACTACTACTACTACTACTACTACTACTACTACTACTACTACTACTACTACGACTACTACTGTTACTACTTTTCCTACTATTACAATTACTACTACTACTACTACTACTACTACTACTACTACTACTACTACTACTACTCCTACTACTACTACTACCACTACCACTACCACTACCACTACCACTACCACTAATTACTACTACTACTACTACTACTACTACTACTACTACTACTACTACTACTACTACTACTAGTACTACTGCTACTACTACTACTACTACTACTACTACTACTACTACTACTACTACTACTACTACTACTAAATCACTACTACTAACAAGACCTTGATGATTGCCGCTCAGAGCTGACCCCTAGACAGCAACCACGTACCGGTACCAGGCGACCACGCGTGAACCCCAACTGGTCGTGGTTGAAGCCTGGCCTACAAAGCTCTAGGACTCTAGGACATAACTGAGTTGTCCTTTAAGCCCTTTGAAAACTATTTACTATTATGGCTCTCTAGAGAATAGTAGGGGAAATTAAAACAGATACCAAAGGACAACCCAAATAAACTCAAGCAGTGCGAAGCTTCCCTCTCTTTCCATACTGGGTGTCCGGCCGGAGATGTGCTTGATAAGCAAGCACAGCCTCTGCTAGAGCTTGAGGAACAGTCGTGCACAATGTGGGGTAGAACACCAGAAACTCGGGGACGGCGCCTACGGCGACCAACTCGGCAAAAACCGTTGTTGCAATTATGGACTGCGGAGTAGTGGCTTCTAGCCTGCCTGATTCTGCTTGCAGGGTCATGCATTCTGAGGAGGGCTTGGCTTCCATGTCATCACGATGATTACGGGCTTAGGGTTCAAAGCTCCGGACCCGCAATCACGAATTAGACCCTTCTAAATGCTTCATGACTGGACTGCAAAGGATTGCCTGATTCTAGGCATGACCTGGACGCCATAAACGTTCTTACATCAATCCCCGAAGCCTCATCCCCTTGGACCATAAAGCCGTAAGCCCAAAGCCCAAAAGTCCTAAACTCTCAAACCCCCTGCAAGCCCCGCATCCCCGATGAGGCCCGAACCCAAGCCCAAGTTCTAAAATAACAAATTAAAGAACGATCGAGAGACCAGCAAGCAAACAAGGGAGCAAAGCAAGTCAAACACACATGAATATGTGTTTATACATACATGCCCAATTATATGTGTACATATAAGTATATCGAAACAGAAGGCCCTCAAGCACTGGCCGTAGCAGAACAAGCAGCATCGGGTTGTCGCCAGCACAGCGAGAACCGTGCGAGTTCTGCCGCAGGCGCGTTGGGATAAGCGCGGCGAAGCTTCGCGTAGCCTCGCGAAGCCCCTACTGGTACCTTTTTTACAACTGCCCGCAGCCCTAAACCCTAAACGCCAGTTAGCCTAGAATCTGGGGTAGCTTGGAATCTAAAACCTTGCAGAAATAGGGTCAGGAGAGCTCTTTTACTAGGCCGATATCTAGTTAAGGAAACGCTGAAGACTAGCGCGTCTGGTTGTTGAAGCCCCGATCGTGCAAAACGGACCCCCACCCCCTCAAAAAAAAAGCAACCATGATTTTGTGAAACCTACAGATTAACCTAAACCCTTAACCGTACTAACCTGTATAAACCCTCAACCCTAAACCCCCTATCCTCCTTAACTGCCGGCAGGGGCTGGCCAAGACCTCCCAAACTCCCTTAATTCAGGAATATACCGACGGTTTAGGGTTTAGGACATTCCAACGGAATATACCGCAAATTAGAATAGGGCCCCTGCCGCGATTTAAAGTAGATTCCTTCATGAAGGGACTTTGGAAGGTCTGGGGGCTAAAAAGGCTCAGCCAGAACGGCATCCTGGTGAGAGCTACAGACTCTTCTCGGTCTGGTTCGTTGAGTTGGGAATGGGGAATGGAGTATAAAGACCAGTACTATTGGGGAGTTTAGGATCGAGGTTTGGGGTTTAGGCTTTAGGGCTTTAGGCTTTGAGCCAGGGGGCTCTCAATTCAGACACAGCCGATTATCAGTTTAGGGGTTTGCTCTGGGTACACTTCTCGATTTGTGCGTGTCATCCTTGCGCAGGGGCCATGCTAATCTTCTCTGTTCCGCTCCAATTTTATCGGATGATCCCGTGGATTCCAGGGCTTAGGGTATCGAGTTGCGAGACTCTAAGAGAGCTTCAACACTCAAGCCCTGTACGGTTTAGGGTTTCGGGTCTCCGCAAGTACCAAACCTGAACTTCGCGCCATGAACTTCTAACTACATCCTGAGCCCTGGAAACTAAACCCACATCTCTGGGACTCTGGGAACACCAGCAACTGTCGGCGAAACCCTATCCCTGGAATGGAGAACCCTAGGCGCACGAAAGCCCGCACCTCAAACAAACAGAAGCTCGAAACCCTGAACCCTAAACCCTAAACCCCTAAACCAAAAAACACGCTGAATCCCAGTCCCGAACTACTGAGGCTTCGACATGTGCCGTCCCCAGGCTCGGCCTCAGAAAAGCCACACAAAAAAAAAAGGCTCGAAGGCTGTTTTGGGTATTGCTTGATGGCAAGGATTGCGATACGGCTGTGGCTAGAATTGGGTTACTTGTTGCTGCTATGTTTGTTGATACCGCTGTGGTTGTGTATTCCCTCACTCATAGGCGCGCTCCTCGCTGTGTTACGGCTATTCCCGGTGATAGATATGATCTTTGCAGATCTGGCGACAGCGTTTAAGAGGCACTTGAACCCCTAAGCCGTGATTGCTGGAGCACCGAGAGGCAGCAAAGCAAGCTATACCAACGTTCGAGTGAGAGCCTCTGCACTACTCCCTGAAGCCCTATACAATAAGCCTTGAGAGTCTCCATACTTGAGACTGGCCACGAAGTCCTTAGCTTTCAGCGCCTCCTACAAAGATGCATATGCATCTATACATATATACATGTATATGTATATATATATATATATATATGTATATATATATATATATATATGTATATATATATATATATATATGCAGGGGATGAAGGTTCTGAACTACAGACACCCAGACGCCAAGCCTCTGCAACACGAGCCCCACACTTCGCGATTCTACGAGCCTACTACCTCCACGGTAACTGCCAAACTACTCCTGCATCACTTCCGTTCGGTGTGGAGGTTGCACGAGATGTCGGCTCAGGTGAGGCCTAAGGGTTGAGCAGCAGCTTACTGCAGGGCCAGGTCATGTGTGCCATAGCACGGAGCGCAAAGGAGACATTGGGAACGATGGGGAACTTTCGCCACGCCTACTACACTGCTTTTCCTCCTCGCCACAGCATTGCTTCAGGGGTATTGGACAACCGTCTTCTTATTTACTCAGCTGCTTACGAAACGCTTTTTCATGAACAGAAACCCTGAACCCAAATCCTAAACCCCAAAACCCTAAACCCCTGAACCCTCAACTGCTAAACCCAAACCCCCATTCCCCTCAACCCGAGAAGTTTAAACCCCTGCTTCCCCAAACCCCCAACGCATCGACTCCCAAACCTTATCGATCCCTGTAAAGGGAGTCCTTTAACACCCTATAGCCTCCTCAAAGGGAACCCTAGCTAAACCCCTGAACCCTAAACCATATAGATGCTGTAAAACCCTACTCGGAGGTTCAGGGGTAGACATAAGTGAGGTTATAAGTTCTCTAATATGGGTTATAAGTATAGTTGCCCTACTTATAACGCTACTTATAACTACCCATGAACCTCCAAGTATAGACCTTAGAAGGGGCCCCCACCCTGTAATAGTGACTATAAGGATATTACTGGGGCCCTATTATGTTCTTATTATACCACTATTACAGGGTGGGGGCCTCTTCTAGTATAGACCCCTTTAAAGGAAGTAAACCCTAAACCCTATACCCTTATAGAACTCCTATAGATTCCTTTAAAGGGACCCTTAAAGGAACCCTTATAACTACCCATGAACCTCCAAGTAAGCCCTAATCCTATAGATCCCTTTAAAGGGACCCTTACAACTACCCAAGTATGGACCCCTTTAAAGGAAGCCTATAGATTGGGTACGGCCCAGACTCAGTAATAGTTGAATAATAGTCATAATATAGATATATTAGGACCTTAATAGTAGCCCTACTATAGACTATTACTGTATGGGGGCCGCACCTAAATTTGCATTAAACCCCAAACTCCTATACCCTTATAGAATCCCTATAGATCCCTTTAAAGGGACCCTTACAACTACCCATGAACCTCCAAGTATAGACCCCTTTAAAGGAAGCCTATAGAAGCCTCCGCCGTCCCCGAAGACTCAGAGGCCGGCGGCGTTCGCCATCTTCGGGGCTTCCGCCGTCGCCTTCCCGGCTGGGTGCTAGGGCTTCTTGAGATTTCGGGTCTATAGGGCGTTTAGGGGTTTTTTAGGATTTTTTAGATAATTTTTCGGTATTGTTTAGGGGTTTGGAGGATTTTTGGGGTTTCGGGGAGTTTAGGGGTTGAGAGCTTCAGCGTTTAAGGATTTAGGGTGTGCTGCTTAGGGTTTAGGAGTTTCTGGCCTGGGGAGAATGAAAACGCACACTATTCAGACATGATTGTTCCATCTTTGCTAATCTGAAGTCATACCGGGACGAGAAAGCGAACAGACGAGTACATCCTGGTACTACACCTCAAAACACAGGAAACCCTCAACCCTGCAAAGACATCAACTCTTAGCCATGGAGTCTGCGCTCCAACTATCCAGAACTACTACAGTAAACCCCATAAAGTTGGAAACCAGGTTAAGGCCAAATAGTGCTGGGATTCCCTATACATTACTCTTTGGGATTGAGGCTATGGGGTTTCCAACTTTTGGGCTTCTACTGTAAACTCCTGAGTCTCCCCGATTGCATGCTCAGGTTGGGGCTCTTTACTAAAAACCACCTAAAGGGAACTCCAGAAAGTTGGAATATGGATTAATGGTAGGATCCCCTATAATTTACCTTAAAGGGGTTACGATAATGATATTCCAGCTTTCTGGCTTCTAATTCTGTATAGTCTCCATTGTAGTTCCGTGTAATGGTTAACCAAGCTTATGGTTAGGATCCTATATCGGAGGCTTGCTGGAACGACTGCTCATAATGAGTGGTGGCACGTAGCAATTCAGCAAGACGATCACAGCAATGCGCTGCCCCCCTCCTCCTTGCTTCTGGAGCAGTTGGAGCATGAAGTGTCTTTGTTCGAAATCTCCTGACGCTTGCGCTTCGAAGCTTCAAAACTACCGTAATGCTGGGACCTTCACTACGAGCTGATAGCAGAACGCTAGAAGCCCTGTGCCCCAGAAGCCAAGTACCTAAGAGACACCAAACCTTCCGAAACTTCACAGGTTTGAATCCTTCATGAGGGTTCGATGTCCAACCCTAGAAAACCCTACATTCAAGTTCCTGATTACTGCAAGTTTCCCACATAGTTCCTGAAAGGGCGTGCCTTTTGGGCTGCAGGCTCGCGGATGTGGCCAACAAGAATGCAGGAGTCAGGGTTTGCAGAAGGCTTGTGGGAACCTGGTAACCTTCTTCAAAGCCGTCAATCTCAACGTTACCAAACCGTTCATAAGCCGCATGTCCCCCTTCCGCTCTAACATGCATACTTCTTTGGGCTGGCTTACATATCCGCATGTCTGCATGTATGTGTATACACATACGTGCATGTACTCTCGGGGTATTAACAATTCGAATGGGGTTTGGGGCGTACATTATACAACAATTATACTTAGGAGCTGAGTACCCTAGCAGAAAAAGGTTAACCGCTTGAATTAAAGTTGGGTTCTATAAGCCCCAAATGCTAAAGGATACCTACTCAGCTACTTATAAGATTATACTAATCGGTAATATTTAGGCCCTCCCTAAACCCTAATTCCTAAACCCTATATATACCCTAAACCCTAATCCCTAAACCCTATATCTCAACCCTATACCCTACACCCTAATCCCTTTTTTTGCATCAGGACTTGTGCAATCGCCTGAAGAACATGGACGGAAGGTCAGCACTCATGACCTAATCCCTAAACCCTAATCCCTAAACCCTATATTACGCGTTTCGCTGGTCGCTTCCTCGGTCTGGGCCTTCCGTTTTGATCGGTCTTTCAGCCTCGGTGTCCCTACTTTGAAGGGTTCAGATATAGGGTTTAATGTCGTTTCCAAATTAAGATACCCCCCCAGATTAGACGGGGCCGTCCCGGGCATGTCATGGGCTTCATGAAGAAGTCCATTAGACCCCACCCTAATAGTACCGGAGCTCGCCTAAACCCCCCCCGATTAGACGGGGCCATCCCCGAAAATCCCCGAAGTAAGGATTTAGGGGATTTAGAGGCTTATGACTTAACCCTAAACCCCAAACCCTGAACCCTAAACCGTAAAGAACTCATGATGGCAGACTTTTCCTCATTTGACCAGCAGGCCCTTGGCTTTGACCTAGAAAGCCCGAAGCTTTGAGATGGAAGGGTCAGAGATCCCTGGCCTTGGGATCCCTGGGATTTCGGTGATATCTTCTGCTGCCAGAAACAGGTGGTTCCCTAATTAAACCGTATATAAAAAGAGTAGGTTTGTCAAGTTTTCCAAGGCTACCCCTTTGCAGGCCCCGACCCCCCCCGAATAGCAGGAAACCCCCCCCGATTAACAGGGTCCGGCCCGGGACCAGGGATTTGCAGGCCCTTGGCTTTGACCTAGAAAGCCCGAAGCTTTGAGATGGAAGGGTCAGAGATCCCTGGCCTGGGATCTTTGGGATTTCGGTGATATCTTCTGCTGCCAGAAACAGGTGGTTCCCTAATTAAACCGTATATACAAAGAGTAGGTTTGTCAAGTTTTCCAAGGCTACCCCTTTGCAGGCCCCGACCCCCCCCGAATAGCAGGAAACCCCCCCGATTAACAGGGTCTTTGACCTAGAAAGCCCGAAGCTTTGAGATGGAAGGGTCAGAGATCCCTGGCCTTGGGATCCCTGGGATTTCGGTGATATCTTCTGCTGCCAGAAACAGGTGGTTCCCTAATTAAACCGTATATAAAAAGAGTAGGTTTGTCAAGTTTTCCAAGGCTACCCCTTTGCAGGCCCCGCCCCCCCCAGAATAGCAGGAAACCCCCCCCGATTAACAGGGTCCGGCCCGGGACCAGGGATTTGCAGGCCCTTGGCTTTGACCTAGAAAGCCCGAAGCTTTGAGATGGAAGGGTCAGAGATCCCTGGCCTGTGGATCCCTGGGATTTCGGTGATATCTTCTGCTGCCAGAAACAGGTGGTTCCCTAATTAAACCGTATATAAAAAGAGTAGGTTTGTCAAGTTTTCCAAGGCTACCCCTTTGCAGGCCCCGACCCCCCCCGAATAGCAGGAAACCCCCCCCGATTAACAGGGTCCGGCCCGGGACCAGGGATTTGCAGGCCCTTGGCTTTGACCTAGAAAGCCCGAAGCTTTGAGATGGAAGGGTCAGAGATCCCTGGCCTGGGGATCTACTATTATACTACTATAATACTACTATACTACTGTACTACTACTGTACTACTGTACTACTGTACTACTGTACTACTACTATACTACTGTAATACTACTATACTACTGTACTACTACTATACTACTGTACTCCTATTGTACGACCGTACTTATCTACTTACTACTATACTTAATAATTAACCCCATCCCCACATAATCGGGGGGGGGGCCGGGAAAAACTTGAACCCATGAACAAGTTCAAGCCGGCTAACCTTGACAGCGGGGGGGGGGGGGGGGGGTTGTTAATCTGGATCCAACATTAGGGGCTTGGGGTTTAGGGATTAGGGTTCAGGGTTTAGGGTATAGAGTTTAGGGATCTAGGGTATGGGGTTTTCTGGCTTAGGGTTTTAGGGTTTAGGGTACGTATAGGGTTTAGGGATTAGGGTCTAGGGTTTAGGGCTGCAGAGCGTTATAGGACCTCCAAATGGGATTTATTGCAAGCACTCTATCAAGACTGTAATAATTTGTTTCTTTCAAACAGCGGATGTCCATGTTTGGTCTCATCACGGGTTAACGGCGTTACACTCTTGCCACAGGTGGGTGATGCAGAGATCTGAATAGTAAATCCCCGCACTTCTCCAAGCGGCCGAATATCAGGTTTATCTTGAAATGCTGCTTAACAGTCATGTACTGCGATCAATTGAAACGCAACGTGGGTGGCAAGTTAGGGTGCTGATACAGACGCCTTAACAGTTTCAACAGGGTCTAGGGCATCTTATGGTATCATCATAATAAGGAACCCCAAAACCCAAAACCCAAAACCCTAAACCCCAAACCCAAAACCCAAAACCCTAAAACCTAAACCCTAAACCCCAAAATAGTAGTGGCTGTTTATTCCCCTTAGGACTGACGGCTTCGCTTTGCTTCGGTTTTGTGCTTTAAGGAGGCTTAGAGTTTGGGGCTCGGTCCTAAGAGGTTGTTTGGCCTTTTAGGATTTGGGGGTTGGGGGTTTAGGTGTGAAGGGCTGAGAAGGGACTTCATAAGCTGAGTGTATTTGTGATTTCTGGAACCTTGCGGACTGTTGCGGATATGAAACCAGTGGTTGGCCCACTCATAACTTACTTGCTCAACTCCCCCATCGCGTAAGTAGCCGCCAAGCAGCTTCACCCAAAAGCGTCTGTTGAAACACAGCACTTCCAGCTGTCGCGGGCCGAAGAAACAGCCGCAGGCGAAGAGGGACATGGCTTCTACTGCTCCTGAGATGAAGCCCCCGTGCCCAAAGGCAATTACATACATATATACATATATGTATATCTAGATATGTATGTGTATATATATATATGTGTGTGTATCATACTTCACTTTACCTCCAAATTCCTCAAGCTCCAGAGACCCAACCCTTTCTCACGTGGATTTCTGGCTCTCGTATCCCACCGAACCCAGACTCCTCAGACGGGTTCGTTGTCAATCTCCTTCTTGCAAGTGTGTCGGTTTAGGGTTTAGGGTTTAGGGTTTAGGGTCTTGCAAGTGTGTCGAATAATACGACTAAACCCTTGCAACCCTTACCCAAAGGCTCTATAGTAGATACTTAAGCCTCAAAGGGGTCCCTATATAGGTACTTTATGGCCTAAGTATATATTATCAACGGAGTCTATTAGGGTTATCGACTATGCTGCTATGGCTCTTTGTAGCATGTGGTAATCCTGCCTCTTGCCTTTACTTCAAGGGCAAGTTCCTTCATTTTCGGCCCTTTCCACCGGAACCCGCAGGATGGCGACACGGAGCGGGCGCGCTACTCTGCTGGCTGCCGAAGAGGCGAAAGCAACAAGGGATCTATAGCAGGGTTCCAGAATGTAGGGGCCTTAATAATTAGAATAGGGGTTCCTTTACGGGGTTCCCATAAGGGTTACTATTCCATGCAATCCAAAGCCCAGATTTGGAGATAGGGCGGAAGGAACTATCTGTGGATGTGGGGCACTAATTCGGGTTCTGGCGTGGGTGATGTTTGCTTTATGGGAAGGTTGGGGTCTAGGAATCCGAAGCGTGAAGCAAACAGCCGAAGTACACCTAAACTGTAGATCTCTCAACTCAAAGGGGAAAAGGAGGGACCCTGAAAGGGGACCCCTACCCTATAATGGGCTATATAATGGGTATATAATAGCTATATTAAGGAGCCAAATCCTGAAGTTCCGACCCCCCGAAACCCTACTTGGAGGATCATGGGACTTAGTAAGTAGGGTTATAAGTAATTGGGGCTATAAGTAAATATAGCTATAGTTGCATTACTTAACCCTACTTACTAAGTCCCATGATCCTCTAAGTATCCTGCAACCCGTGACATGAACATCCCAAGTCACACAGCGAGCTCTGCAGCACCCAGAACCAGACTCAAAACCCCCAAGCCACAGCTCCAAACCTTATATACCCTAAACCTAAACCCTCCGCTTGAAAACCCTAAGCCCGCAGCCCTACACTCGTTTAGGGTTCAATTTAGGACGCTGGCTGGCGAAGATATCCTGTCAGTCTGGCTTTGGAACAAACAGAAGACCGCCATCTTGAGAAGGGGCCCCCACACTGTCATAGTGGTATAATAGGAATAAAATAGGGCCCTGATATTATAATCCTTATAGTCACTATTACAGGGTGGGGGCAGCTTCTAACCGCTATCACGATTCCAATCCACCCGGATGCAAAAGAAAGAACCTGCAAAGGGCCGTCTCCCGAAACCTCTTCAGTGATAATCTCGGCTCTACACCACGGCTTCAGAACCCCACAACTCTCAATAAGGGTTCTGTAGGGATTCCAGTATGAAAGGTCTTAAAGACACAAGGTTTGCTTTTCAGGGGTCAAATTCAAAGGAACAGGGCAAACTCTCTGACGAACTGCGGACGACGGGACAAGAACGCTACTCGGTCGCTCGGAACTCACAAACAAGTAAGTGGTACTCTGCAAGCCCTAGCTTGCGCGAAGAGAAATAAACGGATGAGTTGTAGGAACTATACCCTTGGCCCAAGCCCCTACGCCCTAAATTAAGCTCGACACCCATACACAAGAATCATGCCGATCACCCCTGCTGCATGCACGGGCATGCAATAGTAGGTCCCCCTGTTGGAGTGTTCTTTCCACCAAACAGCACTCAGCACCCAGATTGAAACATAGCGTACATACAATTCCAGGGCCCTAAACAATGTCATGACGTGTATACTAAGACAACATAGGTGACCAATAAGCCGAGTCTGATCCTTGGTTGATTGATGCGGTAACCGGCACCCCGCTTGTTGAAAATATCCCATGAACACCGAGACCTACAGCAAAAGCCTAAAAGTTGGAAACCCAATAGCCTCAATCCTTAAGAGTAATGTACAAGGAATCCCGGCACTATTTGGCCTTAATCCGGTTTCCAACTTTACGGGGCTTACCGTAAACCTTGAACAAGAGCTGCCTTGCCTGGTAGTGGGGGAGGCTTCTCGGTCGGCTGATGATGTGCCTTGACCTCGGGTGGTTGGATGGGAAGCTCTTCATATAAAATAGTGTCCGGTTTAGTGTTCCCGGTGAATCCGCCGTGCTGTGATTGATGGTCTGTTTTAGGATCGCGCTGCTGTAAAGAAAACGCTACTCCTTCATTCAAGCCAGTATCCCCGGCCGCCCCTTAATAATCAGGGTACCGTTTTGTGACTATGCACTTGACCCCCATCTTAGTTGCTGAGTTCATAATTAAGCCCCAACAAGTGTACACTATCAGTTTTATGGCGGGCAATATTACCACGAAAAAAGTATAAAGTGTATCCACTCAGCTACTAAGCCATCTAGAGGGTAAAAACCTGAAAACCCGCAGGGCCGCAAAGGCCTTAGCCCCAACCCTAAACCCCAAGCCTGTACTACGGGAAGACCCATGGTGTTGGCATGCCGTGATTTAAAAAAAGAATAGGGCTTTGGGGCATGTTATACTAAAAAATATTTGAAGGGCCAGCAAAATAGGGTTGGAAATTGATGAGGCCCAGGTGTCGATTTCGACAATCCCCAAAATTATTCATAATTGGGGATCTATGCTAAACTAAACAATAAGGGGAATCAACGGCTACCCAAACCCGATACCGAGTATAATATTACATAGGCCAAGCCCAAGAGCCTTGGGTTTGGGGACTCCATCGGCTCGGCCACCTCGTTTGTGTTCAGGGTTTAATCTTTAGGGTTCAGGGTTTAAGCTTTAACCATAAAGGTCTTGGGGGTGAGGTGAGGGTTCAGGGTTTAAGTTTGTGGGGCTTTAGGTTGACGATCTTCAAACAATGTCAACCTCGACCGTTGCTGCAACCGCCACAAAACACCAATGAAAGCTAAGGAAACACGGAATGCCGCACGCTACATCAACCACAAACCCTATCACGATGCAACAACAGGCTCAACAAAAGCAATTGCTTACCTTTGGTTAGTAGGGAATGGAGGAATGGGGCACAATTATAACTACTATTACTACCATACTTCCACTCCCTACTAGCAAAAGGTGAGATAGGTAATCACCCAGCCCACTGCATCACAAAGCCAACGTCTAAGGCACCGGCCCCATGCTGTGCAATAGAAGTTCCAGCATCGCTCATTAAGTCGTCCTTGCATACTTGGAGGATCATGGGACTTAGTAAGTAGGGTTATGAGTAAGGTAACTATAGCTATATCGGCTTATAACCCGAATTAAGGCACGTATAACCCTACTTACTAAGTCCCATGATCCTCCAAGTAGGGGTTTCCCTAGGGCGGGCCCAGCGTGGTCGGTTTTAATTGAGGCGGCGGGTCTCCGATTGTTTTGTCGCTTCCCGAGACCCTGAAATGCAGCTCTTCTTGAAGTGACACTTTAGCCAATGAGAGCCCGCAACTCTCAACCCGTGACCTAAGCGAACCTTAGAGTTCGAAACCATATCGAACCCTACAAACCACTACAAACCAAGAAACGAAACGGCAAACCCCAAAGCCCACCGGATAAATCTCGAGACCCGTAACCCGTAACCTCCCAAATGGAGAAAATCCAGTAGGTTTAACCCCCAAATCCTGTACCACCCCAACTCGGGTGTCAGTTTTCGGGGTAGACGACCACGGTTTAGGGTTTGGGGTTAGGGGTTTAGGGCTTTAGGGGGCTTAGGGCTTTTGGGGTTTCCCCTGACAGCTTCACGCCGGTCAAGCCATGAGGCCGTCAGTTTGATGCAGAGTATAGTTCGGCACCGTTATCACAAAAAGAGCCTACAAGGAACCCGAATCTAGAGAACTAAGAATAAGTCTCCGTTGACCAACGTGAGCGGGTCCCCGCAACATCTTGGAAGGCACGGCCGCCCTCTTTCGGTAGATTAACACCTCGTCATATCGCCGGGTTTAGGGTCTGGCCTTATTGTACCTTCCGAAGCTTTACCCATGCCTGAACCGGGTATTTCAACATTTGCTGAGCCCCCTTTTCCCCAAATGTAAGTAAGTAGCAAGGCTTTAAGGGAGTCGTAAGCCCTAAACCCAGAAGCCCCCTTTCACGGATTGTAAGGTCCCTGAACAGACCCTAGGAGGTGCGTTTACAGCCTTTGAGAAATATTACTAGGTAAGATCCTCTTAAGCCCAATAAGAGCGACTATAAAGTGTCCCAATACCCTACCTAGGACCCCTTTGGCTGCAGGCAAGGTGCCACCCGCAAGGAGCTGGCATCCGGTAAGCTCTGGATCATGCCACCGAAAATGTATCCTTGGCAATAACTATAAGGGTACTATAAGGGTACCCTTTAAGGGTTCCCTTTGAAGGGATCTATAAGGATTTAGGGGGGTTGGTGGATTTAGGGTTTATGGGTGTGAGAGCTCAGGTCTTTGGGCCTCTCAAGATGTATCCTTGGCAGTAACTTTGGCTTCGGGTTTCGAGTTTTTTTGGAGATTTGTGCTTTAAGGGCTTTGGGCTTAGGGGTTTAGGGGTTGAGCGATTCGCAGTTCAGGGCTTTGTTCTCTTGTGTGTTTTTTGGAAGGGAGGGGGATGAGTTTCGGAGTTTAGGGTCACGGACTCAGGGTGTATCCTTGCGTGTCGCACAGTATGTCTCAAGACGGGGTCCCCCCGTGCTAGACCCACAGAACAGCAAGAAACCTGAAACCTCGAACCCCCAACCCTTTTCTGTGAAGGTAAACCCAAAATGGGTAATTATTCAGGCCCCGCAAGTGGAGTGTTTAGGGTTTCCTGTAAGTTCCAGAGGACTAAACTTATGAGAATCTTTGATGGACACACTGTGG